TAGCAGGGGAACAGGATCGCAATATGCAATCAGTAATCTCAACAAAACATACCTCATCGATAAGTTTCTGGCGTTTGAGATTCCCAAATTTCGGTGGTGCATCACGAGACTTGATGGTGAGGACACACCGCTCTTCCATATATTCTAGAGAACCTATGGCACCATTCGGGCTGGTGGGCATGAATGCAACCAGTGCCACCAGAGCAGTCCGCACTATCAACACCAACAGCCAAATTAGCCAGGTTTCATCCGAATCGGACACCCCATATCCGACTACTCACACACTAGTCAAAAGTAACATGGCTTAGAACAGATCAAGGACATGCCGGAATGACTATATATAAAACAGCACAAATGCAACATATCAAATAGCATTGTAATAAACATTACAACATATAAAATGTTCTTCATTTTCTGGATTTGGTATAACAATATATATCGAAACTTGCATTGCGATTGCCTTAAAGAGAAATGATACTCACCACTCCAAGATGGTTGCCAATGCTCCGGGTGGTGTTTCGATATACTCAAGCAAATCTTAGTTTGTGTTTCAAAACGTCCATTTGGCTGAAAATTTGAGCACACAAATGAACTTATTAAAACATCAGATTAGACAATTTACCAACAAAATGATATATATATATATATAAACACAATGTTGCTCGGACTCTTCATTTCTCTTGAAGGACATGGGTACTGTGTTCGACACTCATATCTAAGACATGACTACACAGATATGACCATCGAGAATCCTCCAAATGCATGGAAAAGTCTAACCATTACTCGTACGGGATACATATTCAAGTCCAAGTAACATAATGCATGTATGTATGCATGTATTTATATGTAAAAGCAAGGCCTTACAGCAGCAACATAAATGAAGGTGGCTTAAATGGATACTCAGCAGGCAATTGGATCCTTTCATGATAAATTCCTCCTTCAAATTCAGAATCCCTGGGACCCCTAATTGCAAATTGCCATTCAAATACATTCTCCTGAAGAAGGGGGGGGGGTGGGAAACCCAATTTTGTTCATCACAATCGTCAATAATCTCCGAACTACACAACAAATCAAACATTTTTCCTAAAATTTTCAAACCAGTTCCTGTTCCATCCAAAAAACCTGGAATAATTATAAAAAAGACCCTAAAGTTTTGAGTTTTTTTTTACCTCGAGAGGTAGGCTCATGAAGTCATCGGAAGGATTGGATTGCATCTCGTTAACCTATTGTAATATCCTCTTCACAGCCGGATTCTTGAGGTTATACTTGTATTCAGCCATTTGGATCACCGATCTGAGAAACAATCGTTCGTAAAATTGCCACCATACGAATTATTTTTTTGTCGACTGTCTGTATAAAAAGGAATACGTAAATGAGAAAGGGATGAGATTCGACGGAGAAGAATAGAATAGTTCAGAGTTCGGACTTGGAATTTAGTGGCTTGAATTGACACGTGTTGGCTATTTTCCCACGTAGCTATTTTTCATTGGATGAGAGATAATAGCTTGTGTTATTACCTTACTAGTTCGGTTAGATCAGGTTAGTATTGTGCCGTGTTATTTTTATCCTCAAACTATGTCATTTATTCTAAACTGATCCCAAATTTTAAAATATTTAGTTTCATTTTAAACTGTCGATATATGCTAATCATATTTCCTGTTAATAAAATCGTTATTTTAAACTATATTCTTGTATGTTTCTTAAAAAATAGATTAAACTATGATTGAAACTAATTAATATTAGGATGACTTTGAGCATAAAATTGAAAGATTCAAAAGTTTAAAGATCAATTTAGAATGAGGGTTATATTTTAGATATAAAATTAGAATAATTAAATATTTGAAGACTAACATAGAATAAGATTCATAATTTGATGATGAAATTTATAATATTTAAAAGTTTGAGGATTAATTTAATATAAGATTCCTAGTTTAAGCACGTGTAACGTAACTTTGTCTATTTTTTCCATTATAACATTTATTTTTAAAAATAGAAAAATTACATATATAATCACTAAGCTCTTAAAGTGTTTATACTTTGATCATAAAAGAAAGAAGATAGAATCCATGTCAACCAAGTTAACATATCACAGATTCTTTTAAATGAATGTTTTTTTAATAAAATGACAACACATGTCATGATCTTGTTGGATTTAGCACTGCATTTGATTGAAGTAAATTTCATGATTTGTAATTGTAAAATATTATGAAATTGGCCAACATCAGCTGAGGGTAAAAGTTGAATTTGCTCCAACAATACTGAGAAAAATGGCAATGGAAACAAACAGAAAGAACAAAATCCATGTCGATTGATGCAGGCCGCATTGCGGTATGTCTCTTTCATGTCTTAAATCAAGTGTTTAATCTCTGATTATTTTATGTTTTTTTGTCAGTCTCAAGTTGCTTGATATCTGAGATTTTCAGTCTTGTTTTGCTTGGCTGATTTGATTAAATTCCTCACCGATGATATCAGCTTTGATTGTGGCACCTGAGAATTTAATTTCTCATTCCATTAGGTAAAAAATTCTGGGTATGAATTTGATTTATTTATTATTTTAATCCAATTGGAATTCATTTAAAATCAGTATATACATTGTTCAAATTGCTCATATTATTGATCTTACCATGTCGAATGATGCTTTGTCTTTTGGTGACAACATTGGTGGATTCCCAGACAAGCTTAGTGTTTGCAAAAATGTATGTGAGAGTTTCAATGGAGGTTTCTATGGAGCACCCATTGATGGATTCTATAGAGATGACTCACTGCAACAACAGTTGCAGTTCCCGCTTGGACTGTTAAACAACTACGGTGGTGGATTCAAGCGATTGCGTACAGAAAAGAGAGTCGAGGAAGTCAATGATGAATCCGGAAACGGGGTCGACCAGAGATTGTCGACTGAGGATGTCGTGAGACTTGCGGGAGAGTTGTTTATCCAGTCATCTTGCCAAGGTATCGACAGTCTCTCTGTGCTCGATCATGGTTTCAATCTTTCGTTTTCGGGACTTTCCGATGAGGAGAGGAGGGATGTTGAGCTTGCTTTGCTCCTTCTAGCTGCCGCGGAGAAAGTCGAACATCGACAATATGAGCATGCAAGCAGATTGCTGAAACAATGTGAGTTCATGTCGTCGAAGACCGGAAATCAGGTTCAGCGAGTCGTCTATTATTTCTCCGAAGCACTTCGAGAGAAGATCAAGAGAGACAGGAAGGTTTTCGTCGAAGTCGGTGTTCAACTTTGATGAGTGGACGATGAGGCCTAATCTTACTTTATTAGCATTTCATGGTGAATTGCCTTTTCCACAGATTATACAATTTGCTGGGATTCAAGCCATTGTGGAAAATGTTGCAAAGGCAAAGAGGATTCACATAATTGATCTTTCAATCAAAAGTGGGGTTCAATGGACAGTTCTAATGCAAGCTCTTACGTCTCGACATGAGTGTCCGATCGAGCTCCTTAAAGTAACCACTGTTGCAACCGATGGGAAACAGTTAATCGAGGGCACCGGTAAGCGGCTGTTAAGCTTTGCTCGAAGCTTGGGATTACCTTTTTCTTTTAAGATTGTTATGGTCTCGGACATGTTGGATCTCAAAGAAGATCTCTTTGAACTTGATGCTAAAGAAACAGTTGCCGTCTATGCCGTAACGATTCTCAGGAGCATGCTTGCGATTCCGAACCGGCTCGAGAATATAATGAGAGTGATTAGACTCATCAACCCTTGTTTGATGGTGGTATCCGAAGTTGAAGCCAATCATAACTCACCGATCTTCGTGAACCGTTTCATCGAAGCTCTCTTCTTCTTCAGCGCATACTTTGATTGCCTTGCGAATTGCATGAAATGGAACCATGAAAATAGAGATATCATAGAATCAATGTACTTTGGAGAGGGGATTAGGAATATGGTAGCCACTGAAGGCGAAGAAAGGAAGGTCCGGAACGTGAAGTTCGATGTTTGGAGGGCGTTCTTCATTAGGTACGAAATGGAGGAGGCAGAATTAAGCATGTCATCTTTGTACCAAGCATACCTTGTTCTCAAATCCTTTTCTTGTGGGAGTTTCTGTACACTCGATATGAACGGGAAATGCCTACTTGTCGGATGGAAGGGAACGTCGATGCATTCGATTTCAGTATGGAGATTTTGTTTAAAATCCGAATTTAATGCCTTAAACATTTCCATGCTCTAGGTTAACTGTTAAAATAGTGAAAATCAAGAAGTGGGGATGATCATCAAGTTCCATAGTGCTTATAGTAATGGCAATCACTGTCCATACAAATACAATCGTCAGATACCGAACCGAGATTTTGCCTCTCTGCTTCGTGTAATCACCCTTACGAGGTGAGTTTGGGTAAGTCCAGGATTCAAATCTTAACATCTACGATCTTTTCCTATCTATATATGTATGATATCTGTTATAAGACTGCTCTATTTGATTGTATCAGCATGCATGCCAAAACATGACCAAAAGCATCAGTTTTTTCATCTACAAAGCAGATTTTGTCACCCATTTTAGAGCAGATTCCATCTATGTTATTTGAATTCGTCATTTCTCTAGTATCCGATGCATTTTCTGTACACATATTCGAACATAGATACGACGATGAATGAGAAACAAATGAAGCTGACCCTTCTCTAATTTGGTTTATATATGTGTATATATATATTGTACTATTGCCGGCCTATATTGCCCGTGCATTAAACGCCTGCATTTGTTGGATTTATCAGCAGCAAAGGTCATATGCAAAAAAATAGGATTTGGTCCCTATACTTTAATTTGACATAATTTGATACTCTTATTTTTATAATGATATGGAGTTTCCACGTCAGCATTTGAACTGGAGGATCAAATTAGCATAGTAGAGGACCAAGTCCACCCTGCAACAGACCAAAAGTTTCAAAGAAAAAAAAAGAGAGGAGTTGCCATCATAACTAGCTGTATGCCCTCTCTTGTTTATATCTTTCAGATTAGATTTTATAATCATCTTTTGAGGATCTTACAGAGATAAAATGGATGTTAAGAAGGCCAATGAGCTAATCATGGCTGGTTCTACTGGTCAATCATCAGCTGCAAGGCTTATCGAAATCGCAAGATCGAGCTTCAACAAGGTATCTTCCATGGAATCTTTCGATAATCTCTCCGAGCTCAACAAGTTCTTCAATGGCGGTCACTTTAACCTTACGGGCAACGAGATCAAAGACGTTGAGCTCGTGATTCTTTTATTAGCTTCATCTAACGATATCAGTAATCAACGATTGGATCGTGCGAGTAAGTTCCTCAACCTATGTGATTTCTTGTCTTCCAATGTTGGGACAACAATCCAGAGAGTTGTCCATTATTTCAGCAAAGCTCTACGAGACAAAATCGACAGAGAAGATTGGGTAACCTCATCAAAAACCGGTGGGGATACTAATAATAAACTGTCACACCCTGATGAAACAATGGTGAGTTTGAGCCCTGCACTCATTACATGTTCATTGAAGCTTCCATTCATTCAAGTCACACAGTTCGCGGGTCTCCAAGCCATCATAGAAAGCGTTGCTTCATCGAAACGGGTTCATTTCATCGACATGGCTATAAGAAGTGGAGTTCAATGTATATCCCTAATGCAAGCTCTAGCAACTCGGGATGAGCCCCGAATCGAGCTTCTCAAAATAACCGCCATTGGAACGACATTGCAGACCAAGATCGAAGAGACAGGTAACAGGCTGTCGTGTTTCGCACAAGCTTTGAACATACCATTTTGTTTCAACAGTCATGGTGACCAACCTCGAACACATTGACGTGAACTTGTTCGAGTTAAACGATGATGAATCCGTTGTTGTCAGCTCCCGTCTCCTGCTGAGAAACACGTTAAGACAGCCCGGTAGCTTGGAATCTATGATGAGAATGTTCAAGAACTTGAATCCATGCATTGTGGTGATCACCGAGTTCGAAACAGATCACACGTCCGGGATCTTCCTGGACCGTTTCTCGCAAGCGCTAACATTCTACACCGCGTTTTTCAATTGCCTCGAGGATTGTATGGATAAAACTGACGAAAATCGGAAGGTTTTGGAAGGTTCATACTTAGGTGAAGAGATTAAAAACATCGTCGCAGCTGGAAACGATGATAGGATCTTCATGGACATGAAAATCGAAGAATGGAGAAGCTTATTCACGAGCTTCGGAATGATGGAAACCGAGTTGAGTTCTTCGGCATTGTATCAAGCCGATTTGGTGGCTAAACAGTTTGATCCTGGGAATTCTTGTAGCTGTAATATGAACGAGAAGTCATTGGTTGTTAACTGGAAAGGGACTCCAATTGTATCTCTGTCTACTTGGAAATTATGTTAACAAAGAAAACCAAGTAGGACTTGCAATGTAAAACGCAAAAATTTCCAATAGATCCAAAGTAAAACCTTTTTTACTGGTCAAATTCCAATTCTAGTCCTCCTATACTTAAATTCGAATTTAAAGTAAAAAATACTCAACTTGATCTTAAAAAATAATTGTCTCTTGTATATTTAGATATAATTGTAATAATATTTTTCTATATACTTTTTAATTAGGGGTCGATTTTATCCAATAAAAATAAAATTATATATATATATATATTTATCAAATCAAATCAAAATATATTAGAGTTTTTATCCAAAAATCGAATTATATTTTAAGATTTCTCTCAATAAATCCTAATAAAATCGGATAGAAAAAATATGATTGAATTTAATATATTAAAAATCCGACCTATATTTATCTCTCTGGCCAAACCCCAAAATATCCTGAACTTTATATAGTTAGAAGACTTTAGAACTCGAAATAACATATCCGAATTTACAAGTCCAGTCGATAATGTTTTAGAGTATTGGAAAAAGGAAGGAGAAAGAACAAGCAGTTCAGTAACTTAGAAGCAGGAAAATTCAAAGAAAGTCTCAAAAACCAGCACTTCCAGTGGCAAAGATCACCATGACCGAGACATGGCTGAGGAAGCATCGTTTATTGTACGTTGGAGCCACTAGACACTCTTTAATCCACGCCATTCGAGATGGGAACATCGATATTTCCGCCTTCAAAACATGGCTGGTGCTGATCTGATCTTTGATTCTTGCTATTTCCATGCTTAATTGCATTCCAACTGCAGAAAAATTATGGGGTTTTATATGGAAATATGGTTGTTTTGGATTCATATGAATTTTTCAGGGGCAAGATTACATATTTGTTAGAGCTTTTGTGCCGTTTATAGCGAGTGTGTTGATTAAAGCTTGGAAAGAATCAAATGATCGTGATAATGATGTTGAAGTGATACTAGGTGGTGTGTCTGCTTTAAATGATGAGATTTCTTGGTTCAAGAAAGAAGCTTCTAAGTGGGGTGTTCAGCTCTCAAATATTGTTCCTCAGAAAGCTAATCAAGAATACTGCAGGTAATTTCTTATATGTATATGTGTATGTTGTTTACCTAGTGTTTGTTGTTTTGATTATCCATGTTTTGGTCATTGCCTTGAATTTCGTTTTTCATTTTAGTGGCATAAGAGGGTGGAAATTTGTATTGATTTGAACAATTTCGTGATTGTTGATGGTTAGGACCTCTGTTACTCTGAATCGGATTTGCTACGAGTACGAGTATGTTTGATTTCTTTTAAGTTTTTTCATGTATTTTGAGGATTCCTAGATGACCATATTTTCATACTCGAACATAGATAAGGACAGTTCATTGTCGGTGTGGTGTTACTTGGACTTTAGAGTGAGTGTTCAACATATATTTGAATTCTTATAGAAGTTTCTTCTTCATATATTTGGAGAATCGTACTATCATATTCATGTTAGATACATATCGAGATATGCATCCAACAAAGCTGTCTAGGTGGGCATAAGGATTTTGTGGGGGGAAAATGAAGAATCGGAGCATCGTTGCTTGCTTGTTAGTTGCCGACTTCTTATCCTTGTTACCCCTGCACAATGGCATAGTTATTGTTATTCCAATGGTATAGTGTTTGCTTGATATTGTTATTCCAATGGTATAGTGTTTGCTTGATCATCTTTGGGTTCATCTCTAATAGAAAAAGGCTTCCTCAGTTGAATTCCCAGACACTTATTCCTTGAAAAGATATATATATATATATATATATATATGCATGTTAAGATCTTTGAAGATATGGCGAGGCTTGGTGCGATTGATTCGGATGACTTATGGAATGAACACTATCGTTGTTAGAAGTTACTGGTATCGAACAAGTCTCTTGAACTCGAATTCAAGAACCGAATTGAAATTACGAGGAGGTAACCCCTTCTTTAGTTACTTGATTGCCCTTTGTAAACCTGTGTCGAATTTGAAGTGTCTGCTCACTGCTGTGCATAATGTTCTTTGCATTACAGGTTTTCTGTCCTTAAGTCCTTGTCAGTAGTGTCCTAGATATGCCTTGAGCTGTGCATATATGTTCTGTGTGTTTATGTGTTTTCCATTATTAAGCCTGTGTCAACGTGTAGTGTCGTATATATCGTCGTAGATATCGTAAATGTGTGTTAAGCTGTGCATGTATGTTCTGTGTTTGTGTGTTTTCTATCATTAAGGCCGTGTCAAACTCGTATGTTCTGTTTTTATGCGCATTCTATCATTAAGCCCATGTCCAACTCGTAGCGTCGTAGACATCATTATCGTGCATTGAGTCGTGCATATATATTCTCATCATTACTTGTTTTTCCATCCTTAAGCTCGTCTCAGACTTGTAGTGTCATCGATATGCTTTGAGCTGTTGCAGATTTCTCGAGAGCTTAACAAGCCCAGAAGTCGAATACACCGTTGCAATCGTTGCATTTTGGGCGATCGAAACCGTCTATCAAGAGAGTTTCGCGCACTGCTTGGAAGAAGACAGTAAAACCGCACCAGAACTCAAAGAAACATGCCAAAGATGGGGAAACCAAGGGTTCGCCGAGTACTGTAATTCCCTCAGAAAAATCGCCGACCGACAGCTAGAAAATGCCTCCGATGATGCCATCACGAAAGCTGAAGCAACGTTCCTGCAAGTTCTCGAATATGAAGTTGAGTTCTGGAATATGAGCCATGGAGGAACCTGAACCTCTTTTCCCCTAGAAGTGAATAGAAATTAGCTTGTAAAATCTCTGAGAGTTGGTTGCATGCTTTGCCTTTGGGATCTTGAAAGCATTATGATATCGTAAGCATTATTAGTACATGGATGTCTGCTATCTGCATGTAGTTTTATATTAGGTAAAGTACACTCATGGTCATTGAACTATATTTAAATAATTATTTTGACTATTGAATCATCAGAAATCATAAAATCTTCAGTAAATTTGTTAAATTGTCATAAAGCTATCAATATATACATTGAATTGCTTTAAAATTACCGTAAAATTTTATCGAAATATTATAAAATTATGATAATATTTTATCAATTTTTTATATAACAATCATTAAATCTATCAACATTTGTGAAATTTTTACTCAGACTCATTAATAATTTAGTTTTTTTTCTTACTTTTTTCAATAAAGAAGACATGTAGTCCAATCAAGTTATGTCATGTATGATAAATGTTTTATAATTACCTTTTTACATGGGTAGAATTTGATTGGAACATATCATCATTTTTCAAAGGAAATCATACCGATATTAAAATTATAATGAATTAAAAGTTAAGAAAATAAATTTATTGTAAAGGGTGAAGTAAAATATTTATTAAAATAAAGGGGCTAAAGTGGGTATTAAGCCAAAAAAATCACTACATGGTAGCCAAGGGCTTCTCTTTAGTGAAACCCAACCCATTAAGAAAACGAGTAGCACAACAGGTTTAAGTGCTTTAAACCTCAGTAACCTAGCTAGAAGAACCCAGCGAGCATTCATCAGTGGCTGCTTTCTGCAACTGAAGAATCGAAAACTGAACGAATATCGTACGCTGGTTATCTCAGCGCAAGAACTTAGGTAACAACTCATCTCCTTCAACTTTTCTTTTTCATAAAAAATAAATCTCTTATCCTCTTTGGGTTGATTACTTTGGGATATCTAGGAACATGTTGCTGTTTGTTTATACTACGGTTTTAGATTTATATAATCTTCACTCGATACCCATATTTTTTTCAAAAAATGCTTTTTGTTTTCATTTATGAATTTGGTGAATTCTTTGTGTTTTTTGGCTGATTTTTTTAGTTTTTTTACCACCATTGTTTTGTTGGTCAATAGCTTGATATTCATATAGGATACTGCAGAGATTGATTCCAATCGGATACTGCACAGACCATTATCTCACTAGACCAATTCGTAGTTGATAGAATAATCGGAGATTGATCTAAAGTGAAAATTGTAGAAAAGAATTCTGTTTTGCACAGACCCTTATCTCTCTTTTTTTTTACAAGTGCAAAAAGATTATCCAACCATATAAAATTTGCCAAGATGTGTTTAAGAAAAAAGCAAAGTGGACTGTGGGAGGACTAAAAAATATCAAATTACTGTAGAGGGATTAAATTCACCAAAAATGCATAGTACAGGGCCTTGTGTATTATTTGCAGCACTGTGGATTATGAACTTTGTTGAAGTTTTTTTTTTAATGTTTGCAGTGGGAAGTAAAAAAGGATGTTGACAGCTGATTCGGATTCTGCTTTAAGGTTAGTAGAGATAGAAGGGAGAGGAAGGGCTCTCGTTGCGTCGCAACCTTTGAAGGCGGGGCAAATCGTTCTCAGGGATTCTCCTATCGTTGTTTACTCTGCGTTTCCGTTAGTTAAACCTCAATCTTCAGCCTCTTATTGTGACAATTGCTTTAGGACACTCTCCTTGTCGTCATCGAATGTAATGCCGTGTCCGTCATGTTCCCATCATCATCTCTTTTGCAGTAATTGCCTAACTGCAGCAACAGCCTCCTCTCATACACCTTGGGTTTGCCAAGCTCTTGGTCGTCTTCGGGACTGCTCTTCACTTGTTTCTCAACCTCTCGAACGTCAAGTACAAGCACGGTTTCTTATAGCTGCGTATAACCTAGCCATTGTTTCCCCCTCGGATTTCCAGGTTTTGCTTTCTCTTCAAGGCCAGGATTCCCCTTCTGATGCTTCTGCCGTCCAATTCCTGCATTCTCTCATTTCATCCATCTGTCCTCCGCCTTCTTTATCGATTACTATTGAACTCACGGCCGCTCTATTGGCAAAAGATAAACTGAATGCTTTTGGCTTGATGGAACCTATCTCTCTACAACAAGATGGTCTGAGATCCGTCCGTGCTTACGGAATCTATCCCAAGGCTTCTTTCTTCAACCATGATTGTCTTCCTAATGCCTGCAGATTCGATTACCTCGACTCGGCTCCGGAGAGGAATACCGACTTCATTGTTAGGATGATTCATGATGTTCCCCAAGGTAGGGAGATTTGCTTGAGTTATTTCCCTGTCAATCTTAACTACTCGGCCAGACAGAAGAGATTGGCCGAGGACTATGGTTTTATCTGCGACTGTGACCGATGCAAGGTTGAGGCTAATTGGTCAGATAACGAAGCGGAAGACATTAGCGATAACGGGAACGTCGAGGAGGAAGAGGGTGAGGAGATCATGGATGAGGGCAATGAAGAAATGATGAGCTCCGACTTGGAACAAGGAGCTGAAGGAGGAGAAGCTGATTTTCCTCACGCTTATTTCTTTGTGAGATACATGTGTAACCGTGAGAACTGTGGGGGCACGCTTGCGCCATTGCCGCCGTCCGATGATATTCCGTCTAAAGTTTTGGAATGTAATGTTTGTGGCAACCTAAAGAATGAAGACGATGAGTGATAACCTTAGGACAGGGTATTGTTGTAAACTTCCACCATAGATGCAATAATCTGTTGTCTTTATTATATGATTGTTTTCACCAGAGCTTCACACTCTGTCTCCTAAATCTCATATCCTTTTTTCAACGTCAACTGACCTGCTCTGTGGATTCTGAATTCGAAATTGAACTCAAAATTTAGTACATACATAATTCTGATTCTAAAAAACAAGTACACAATTGAATATTAAAACGTTATAATAATTATCTTTAAATATATAAAGATTAATTATATTATATATGATTCTGAATTCTCGTTTTTATTAAGTGGAATAAATACATAATTAAATATAAAAATATTATAATATATAATAATTATTTTTAAATATAAAAATAATTATATTATTATTCTAAAATCATCCCCATCGGTATAATAATATCCTATGATTTTTACATTGTGTAACTATTTCAAAACTCTCTATTATTGAGCTTATAATAATATATACTGCCATGTTCAATTTCAAAAGAAGATGAATAAATTTGATATAATTCTATTTTAAAATAAAAAGCCAACCATCGTTACTTGAACGATCAAACTAAAATAATCTAAACAGAATTTGATGTTAATAATTAAAGAGGAGAGAAACATAAAGCAAAAAAGGCCTCTAAAATGGGGATGGAAAATAAGAAAAACGCCAACACATTTCACGCCAAAGACAGTTTTATATTACATAACGAAGACCAAAGGTTTTAAAATATTCCTGTCAGAATATTCGCCGCCGTGGAGATGGCGGCTCCGGTGATAGCGCATTGCAACAGGTGCTCATGGGAACCTTCTCGGCATGTGAGTGCCACTGTCATCCCTGTAAGTGCCCCCGCAGCTGCACTGTTTTTCTGCACCAATAATGATGTCATTGTCAATGCTTGTCGAGCAGTAAATTCTATTACGATCCCGACTTTTCAAGTCTAATCTAGTTCGAGATGTTTCAAGATCGGATTAATCAGGATGAAGCTTTGATTTTTCGAGTCGGGTCTATTTTAGGTTCTTACCCAGTCGTGAGTGCCACGAGCCTCTCGTAGGCCATATGTGATACCTGAATATAATCCGGCAGCCAGCCCTGTATGCAACCGATTAATAGTTTATTTGAAATGAAGCATTTGCAAATCAACTACTTATAAAACAACCAGCTTTCGGAACTAAAAACTTACCCCACTCGAGCGATTCTTTTCCGGTGCTCTTCACCTGTTTTATAAGTCGTAACAAGTAATTAATTTGGCAATCAACACACACAAAATTAGGATGAAACACGTATTCGGTTATGGACATGAATATAAACTCACACCTGGATAAGAATATTAAGGTGCATATTCCAAGTATATTAGGAGAAAAAGGGGGTTCGGATATGAACACGAATACTAGTACAATTCAGACGATGAATAGCGAAACAGTGCGATCCTTTGGACACGTACTTTTATGCAACGTTCAAGCCAAGTCCAACGCTGAGACCTAGCTTAGCTCTAAAAGTGCAACTCTTGTGTAAATAAGAATATAAGGCGTGTGTATATACATACACTCCAAATATATGAAAATGAAAAGAATGTATTCAATCATGCTCGGATATGAACATGAGTAATAGCATGATCCTCTGAATTTAAACGGACATCAGGGACGGAACTAAAAAAGAGCAGAGTCTCTATTTAGACAAATTAGGTCTTGCCCTCAGATTTTGAGTTTAAATATTCAGTAAACCCTTGTTTTTCTGAAGTTCATCAATTTGACTCCTCCAATATTAGACAAATCAGGTTTTGCTCCCTCAAATTTTGAGTTCAAATACTTAACAAGTTCTTGTATTTTTGAAGTCAAGTAATTTGACCCCTTCCGATGTCCGATCTTGGTTCGGTCGCTGTCGAATTCTTACTTTTATATAACATTCAAGGCGAGTCCATAACATATAGAGATAATAAAGTCAAACGCTGAGATCTAGATTAGCTCAACAAAGCCCATAAACACGGAAATGAATACAGAGAGGCATACAGCATTATGATTTTAGGAGAAATTAAGAACTCACCATTGCTTCGAGGGAATCTCTATTTGTTTCTCCTGCAAACCACGTATAAAGCAATGATAATTTAAACTTTAACCAGCAATCAAAATACCCAATCGAGTCCAAAAAATGGATAAAGAAAGTATCATCGGCGAGCAAGCATTTGAAGGTACCTCTGAGATAAGGGAAGGGATGCTTCTTATTGTTCTGAGCTCTGGAAGCAGTGAGATCAGGGTAACTACTTGACCTACTTCCTTCAAGAGCTACATGGCAACCCTCTCTGGCAACAGCCTTAATAGCACCAATCTGCAAATTCAAACCAGCGACAAACATCGTATAGTTTCATTGGGTTTTTTTTTCAAACACAAGCACATAAACATCTATGTGTATACGTACGCCAGCAGCTTTGACAAAGCTATCAGCAACACGGTTGAGAGGGTGACCGAGATCGAAGAAGAATCCACCTTTTTCGAAGCTACGCAGTTCATAAAGCTCAGACCTTTTCTCCAAGTTACTGCCCATCGTTTTGGTTTTACGTTTTTTTTCTTTCTTTTTTTTTCTGAGTTTTCTAGTTAATAACAGTACTAATGATGGACTTGCTGAAGCTGATGAGTGAAGAAGGAAGTAGAGGGGGTAGGGTTTGAGATATATTGAAGAAAGAAGAAGAGGACAAGAGGTAGAAGAAGACGTGTTGGTAAGAGGTTGCATGTCTCATGCATGTGGCATTCTCTGCTTCTATGTTTTCGCCACCTATTATCGCGCACCGAAAGCCCAAATGTGCATGCACTTCTTTGCTCAAATTATTATATTTAAATTCGGCTAGTCAGATTACTTTTAGATTAGTGTAATTTATGACTTTATAGGTAAATTACATGTTTAATATTTAAATTATTACTTTTATTCTGTTTTCATACTCAAATTTTATTTTATTTTCAAAAGCATACATAATATTTAGTTTATGTTTCATTTTTGTAACTATAGTTAAAAGTTAATGGTGATGTTGACATCTCTCCATAATATAATACTATGTCATCATTAGAAAATAAAATATACATTAAACTAAACGTTAGATATGATTTTAAAAAAATTAGATATCAAAATAGAACAAAAGTTATACTTTAAATACTAAATGTGTAATTTACCCTCAAAATTAAATATGGATAAGTTATAGATTTTACCACGTCACTTTAATCTTAATTTTATTTTAATTATTAACATTTAGTTTTAATCCATAAACTTTAAATTTAATTTTATCTTAATCACTCGAGCGTTAAATTATTAACAAAATAATAACATAATATAACAATACATATCATTCATTTTGTTTTATTTTATTTTATTTTATTCTCCTAGATAAAAATTATACAATTTCAATTATGTCATGTTCTCGTCCAACTTACCATTCTCTAACTACTGAAGATACCGACGAATTAATATCATCATTTTCCATCGCTATGTTAGTTTCATTTTTTGATAACCATTTTAAAATTTGTGAAACTTTAAATTATTTTAATCTATAATATTAACCGTCTAATCAAATTATATAATTTATCCCATTCTCCACCTCCCAACCATTGAGATTTAAAAGATTCCATCCTAAAAAAAAGATCAATAAAAATTTTGAGATCATTACAAATATCAATCATAACATTATTTAATGTATTTAACAGCAAAGTGGTCAAAAACTATGAGTAAATTAAAAAATTATAAACTTTATGACCATAATGAAAGAGAAAAAAGTTGAACGATGGAATTTATAATTTACTTTTAAGCATTTATGGTTGTGTTTCCAAATATTTGAACGTTAAAACCTTTGGTTAAAATGAAACACCTCAATTTTTTTATTAATATAATGATGATTTTATAGCTTTTGAAAAAATTAATGATAAATTACTTATTTAAATGGTCTCCAGTGTATTTTATCCGAAACAAAAGAATAGTAATAATTTACAAGTGCCCTATATAAATAATGGGGTTTTCAGCTACAAATTAAGAAAATTTGGGTTGCTTAATAACCCATCATCCTAAACCCTCTCAATATATATCTACAACACAGTTGAAAGTCAGACACACCACAAAACTGAACAAAAGGGAAACTATTACTTCCCCAAAATCGATTCATAAAGCTCTTTAAATATGACAAGAACAGATTCAAAGAAATATAACAAAAATGCGACAAAACGGGCAACGTTTTACAAATGCAACAGTCTAGGGGCAGCTCACAACATCTGAAAGGGCTTTGTGGACTTACTTGGCCGTGGCATGTTATTGAGTATATTTCTTCGAGCCTTCCGGTGGCAGCACTATACACGATCGTTGTCCCCTCCCCTCCGATAACTTGTCTGCTTTCTCTTTCTGTGAATCTATGTCCACTGTTTTTCTTTGGTAGCCCCAAGACTGTTTTATTCAACAACACATCGATGAGTCGAATAAAACAAACTAGAACACGTTTCAATGCCGGACAATTATTGTTGGACTATAATTTATGATCCATTTACAGCCATTTCAGGTGACGATTTTGGTGGTATCAACGATGAGTCTTCTGCACTTAATTGTCTATTGTCTGAGGGGCTATGCAGGTGATCTGAACAGTTCCTAGGAGGTTCTTTTTCTGTATGGTTGTCCTCTTCTGAACTATTGCCATCAGAATATCTGGGACTGCTTGATTCCTTCTCCAGATGATTTTCCTCACCTGAGCCTTCGTATCCCTCGGCTGATTGGGTAGATAAATGCACGGCATTTGCAGTTTTCTTACCAGGCAACACGGCCTGGCTTAATGTTGAACACAAAGCCGCAAATACGCTACCTTTTGACTTTGAGCTTTTCCCCAACCGTTGCTTCTTGACTAGCTCATGCTCCTTGGGATTCAGCTTACGCTTCAACCTAAGGGACTCCATGGTTCCTTCATCTTCTTCCGAGGTTTCAGTCTGCTTCCTGGGAGGGGATGGCTTATAGTCATCATCATCGTCATAGTCAACAAGTCCACCAGATCTCGGACTACAAAATCAAATTGAACACATAAATTATGAACCCAAACACACAATAAGCCAATTTTAGTAATCAATCCTCTAGGATGAGATCATTAAAAATACCTTGATGATGAGTGACTGGCCTCAACTCCATTGGATGAAACAGGCTGAGACTGCACTTTCTGAGGACAAGATGCGGATGCTGCATCATCTTCATCACTGTATACATCACATTCAATCAATATCGGGGGCATGGTTTAGAGGGAAAGTGCCAACTCATCTGTTGACAAAAGCATACCTGTCCCCATTGAAATAGTCTTCCTCCTCTTTCTCCAAAGCACGATCATCAATCCGTTTTCTAGGGTCTGGTGCATTAACATTCATTTTTGGTCCAGAATTTTCCAAGCACTGCAAACAGACAAATCAGGTGGAAGAAGCTCTATATCTAAAAATCTCAGTTGCAAAATTGGTCCGGAACTAGAATACCTGCTCGTATTTAACTTTCAAAGAGTGAACAGAAGCCAATTTCTCAAACTTAGCCAACTGATCCCAAAATGAATCAACAACATATCTAACCAATAATTTCATGTTTTCCTGCAAGAAACAGTCATTATCAGACAGAATCTTCCAGAAATGTCTAAGATCCAAGTGCGGGATTAGTATTTACCTTGCGGATATATTCAAAAAGTTCCAAGACTGCAGAGTTCAGCACATTGTAACGATTTCCATTAGCAACAAAAGCCTCTATAACTGGTTTAAGCAGGTTGTTCTTAACAAAATGATTTATCAGATGTTCATCCTGCAAGATGATAACATAATTCAACTAGTTAAAACATGTAACAGACTCAATCGACCAGCCAGAAAAATGCTAATTTGCAAAAAAGAAAAGAAAAACAATCATAACAAATTGTTTATGAAGTGATGGTTTTTCCTTATTAAAATAAGGGGAAAATTTTACCAGACTGGGAGAAATTGCAAACGCATAAAAAGTGAAGGGGGAAAAAGGAACAAATATAACAGGTACAGCAAGCCCAGTGAGTGAAAAATATTTTAAAAGGTTATAATATATGTACATTTTCTTATAAAAAAATAATATATGCACATTCTGCCCCACTATAAATTTTATACCCTTCGAGCTGGATATCAATGGCACAAACAAGAATAATAGCTTAATAATTAATTAAAATGTGCCATCTTAAATGACACCAGTAGACACCGGTGGGCGGTAGCAGAAGATCTGCCATAAACCAGCAAACTATGTGTCAGACATGGTAAGCATCTACTAGATTCTAGGACACGTCTGTATCATATAAGAGTCCGAAATAAATACTACAGAAAAAATGAAAAGTTATGGCGACATACACACACCCTCCATATCTCAAATTCATTTTATCTTCATTGCCATTTCTGGTTCTAAAGGTGTTAGGGTCCAGACAGCATATGATATTTCTTTCAAAGCTTAAAACAAATTAACTTACATGACGAGAGAGAATAGTGCGAACAAAGCGAACTGCAGCAACTACCAAGTACTTTTCCCTTCTCCGTGTCAGTAACAAAACTTTGTCAACAACATTGTTAAGGAGAAAATTACACCTGCAAACAATGAAGATAAGGTAATTAACATCTCACATTAACAAGCCAATTTTCTTTTTATGAATAGAAAATGTAGCTTAAAGATTACTTTATTCCACAAGGATGGTGCAAAACACAGAAGCACATCAATTCACATATGCTTAACAGAATTTCAGGCTTCGTGCTATTTTGACTTTCAACTCTTCCAGCATTTCTTGTTGATTTACAGGTCGACTGGCCAGTCACATCAGAAGAACATGCTAATATTATGACATCAATTAGCTGCCCCAAATGCTTCTCGTAAAAGATATCAATAATTGTATCTCTCTGCAGCAAAACCAATATAAGGTCAATTACTTACATGAATGAACTCAGTAGAGTAGTAACCAACCCCACATGGAGAAAATAAATTAAATCTTACATGAAAGTTTAAGTGAAATTTTTCCAAAATAAAACACAAATCAACATCCAAATTTTTTACACCTGCATAAATAAACTACACTATTGTGAACACCAATGCAATGATAACACAGCTATAAGGTATGAAAAGCACATGACGAGATAACACAGACATGAGAAATGAAAATCACATGATAATCATTCTTCAGCCATGATTTCTTGGTAAGCTATATGGCAACAAATCTCAATGATCAACAAAACAAAGAAAACCAAACATAAGCCAGCTAGAGTCTGATAGCGGTAAATAGACATAAAAGGGAGAACAGACACAAGCCACTCTATATGCATGAAGATCCAAATTCAGGAACTTGCAACTTTCTAATCCTGCAAGTTGCAAAAATACCTAGAATCTAATTTGATATGTCTTTGCTTCTCTAAAAACAGCACCACATCCTTGTACAGTAATGCAAGACATGGCTTAGAAAAAAGGTTAAGCTAAATCCAAAAGTCATAACCTTGAACTATGATGAGTAGAAGAGGGCTGAAGTAATATGCCCCAATTATTTTGGTATTTAGGTTGCACAGGAGTCTAAAATTTTCCATCTACCAAAATATAACACTTGAACAGAGAAATCAAATATCAAAAGTAGGCACCTGAGCTCCGGACAACGTGAATGAATCCAATAAACTGCGAAGAATTTCAAGAAACCGGCAGTGCATAGCCTCCCCAAAATCTGTTACCATACCTTTAACCTGTAAGTGTATAACTACATTAGTTCATCTATTTCCACATTATTTTTACCAATATTAACAATAAACTTGAATAAAACACATACCAAAAGTCCTAAAAGTGGAATTCCTTCCTGGCGAACTACATAAGACCGCAAAAGGTTTGGATCCTGATTCAAGAACAGTATGAGGATGTCTGTCCTGCAACCATTATGGAGACCTATTGTCAGGGAATCATAGTAATTTATGTAGTCTAAAAGTTAATGTGCAGAGAGATAAAAAAATAAAGATTGAAGCAGAATATTAAAAATGTCACCATTACCCAGTTAGCACAAGCTTTTTATCTGGACTCTGAAGAACATCAGCTATGATATCAAAAATGCCTTCATTGATAAGGTCCCTAGAATAATTGAAAAATGGACGCTTCAGCCATAAGATACAAAAAAGTTAATTGTATAAATGATAGTTATGGAGAAATGTTTAGTTTTAAGAATGAAGATACAGCAGGAAAACAATACTCATACGAGAATCTAACTTGTAGAAAACAATACCTAAATAGTCGATGCAGCTGCACCATTTGCAGGCTCTTGCTTAAATTACAATATTCGTGCAGGAAAGTTACCTATGAAAAAAATAAGCTGAAGGATTAATTTGGACACAAATCAAACAGAATAAACCACATTCCAAACCTGTTAGAACAGCCACAAGCAACAAATATTCAAGCCCAAATGAAAAATGAAACAATGAAACTTCAACCCGATGTCAACAATTACCAAATTTTTCTTTGATTCAGTAGATGTGGTGGGTGATCTCAACCTTGCAAACAATTCCTGAATAAAGGTGCTGTCATCCTTCAGTATAGAAATAACCTACAATGCAACACCACAATTAGTTGAAATGAAAACAAAAAAAGGCAATTTTTTATAATAAAAAAAGGCACTAAAAACCTTACAATAGCATTGTTTGAATGAATTATAGAATTGAGACTGGCAGCTGTGGCCTCATCTAATATCCTTGCCAAAACAACATCCTGAAAGAACCAATGAAAAGCAAGAGTTATATGATTAAAGACGAGAAAGATTCATAAATCAAGTATCCAACATGCATACCTTCAAATAACCAACTCTGTATGTCTGGTGTATCTTTGATAGGGCGAGGGGATTTTTAATTGGAATAGCCTGTAAAAACAGATATCATAAAATTAAATCTTTTTTAACACACCTTGATTTTCTTCCTGATCTAAACTTCATCAACACCCATTTAAGAATACGTTACCACTTTAAAAACAACATGTTCTTTTAGAAAAGCCCGATAGTGTTGCACCTGAGGAACATCAGGGTCATCTACAAACAAAGAAGAAAGTTTCTTAAGTCTTCACAAGAACATGACATAAACCAGCAAGTAAACCGTCAATTCTGGTGCATGTAGACAAAGAACGTCATATGAAGAATAAGCAGAAAATCCAGAATGTAACAAAGTAAAGCATCAAACACTAAATGACAAACCAACATCCAGCTCAGAAAAATATCCAATTTTGAAGCAACAGACAGGAAAACAACACAAGCTTAGAGAAGCTTCAACCTGATGAACAATGAGAGATAGATTGATCCACCTAAATATTCATGTAAAAAATTACATGCATTATCAATCACTTGCAAAAGCTGACATGCATTCCTCAATAACAACAATAAAAAATGCGTCATCAAAACTTGCCATAACAGTACGAGTATCTTAGCAGTTCTGAGCAAGTTTTAGAATATTAAGCTATTATGTAGAAGCTAATACTCTAGTTTCAGAAATAGCAGGTCACAATTTATAAGTGAGTTAAAGAATAGCAACACAAAGAACCACACACTTGAAATGAGAAAGCAAAAGAACAAGAAACATAGGAACTCTCAAAAAGTCCCAAAACATAAGAAAGTTATTTGCATAAAAAGTATTATGCCGATAATACAAGTTTGCAAAATAAACATTGAACTCAATCAAACAGTAGTCACCAATAATAAATCCATGTACGAACGGTATATGACTTACATTCAAGGGAACCAATAATGTCCATGATTAATTCATCCCCAAATATTTTCTCGAAAATTTGAGGACTATTGAGCAAAACTGTAAAACAGCCAACAACATAAATCACATACCCATGAATGACTTGTAAAATATAAGCAATTATAACAAATAAATAAGAGCATTCAAGTGAGAAGAACTAACTTATCCCCTTGATTATTTTGAATATCATGTGAAGACCATCTATGTTTTCCAAGTCCTCGCAGATTCTGAATAGCTCCATCAGCTTCTGGAAGAAATCTTGCTGCATACTCAATTCAGCAGGTCTAAAAATATTAAGAAACTAACATGGATGGTAAATCAAAAAAAGGAAATTAAACTACAAAGTTAAAACAGAAATAACTGAAGATGAAGACATGACAATTGACATTTTGACATCATAGGGAAAAATATAAAAGGACAAGAAATCAAGATCATAGTTACATTTTTAATCTCTCTCCATATGACATAGAAGATCAACAAGAGGATACAATCTCAGAAAGTTGAGAAACCAGTAGAAAACAAAATTACTTGGTTCATAAGACAGCAACATTTGAAATATGGCAGAAACACCAACGTTAAGATAGATAAATGAGCGGCAATTAAAAATATATATATACAATATCTATATAGAGAACAAATAACAAACAGAAAATGTCAGCAAGAACAAAGTTTAAAAGAATACATCATTCAATATAAGTTCAGTCAGCCGTATCTGATCAGCAAGGCCACTCTCAGTCACAGTCTGCAGGACAAAAATGCTTAACTTAATGAATAATCATATAAAAAGGTATTGTCTGGGCAGGTTATATCTGAAAAGCTTTCCAAGAAAAATCAATCAATGTATGCATAAAATATAGGAAATTTAAATGATATTGTCCAAAAGGAAAAGAAAATAGTCAATGTACTATATATTAGAAATACTTATTACATAAGGTAAAATACAAATGATAAAAAAAAACTAAACAGAAGGCAATCAAGAGAAGCCAATAAAACATAGTAACCTTGAGGATTATGGGAAGAGTAGAAAGCTCCACAGCAGGCAACTCCCTCAACTCGCTATTCATTGTGTGAAATATCTCATCTGCGATAACCATAAATGAGACAAACATTATCCATGATTGTATTTCAAAATTGTTCAGATGATAAACTTAATAAGAAAGTATATAAAATGTCGCATGGGTGTCTAGATCAAAGGTAGAACACGCTAGCAACTCAAGAAATAAATCGCATTTAATTGATCGTCTTCCTACTTCTAAGGAAGAAGCCAAACAAATTATTAGATTAACCAAAATACTTGCTAATAAATTTAAAGCTCGTTTTTTTACTGAATTTGAAGTCTATTTTGGACATAAATCAGTGAGAAAGTTAAACCATTTACAAGGATGCAATGTTTGATTAAATTAAGGAGTAAGAAGTTATGATTAACTTCAATCAGATTAAAAGTACTTACTGTCAAGAGAACTGAAATGCATATTTCTTTGAGCATTGCAAATGTGGTCCCTGCAATAGAATGGCAAACACTCAACAAGAAAGAAACCAAAAAAACATGAAACAATCCATAAACAATTAAAAATTACTTACCATATGTAAGAGCATCCCGTGTTCTCTTGAAAACTAAGTGCCAAGTCTGTAGAGAATTCTAAGTCTCTCCATGATATGATTGTATCTGAAGATAAATGCATATGGAATTCAACCAAACTGAAATATTAAAAAATCGAAATGATCCAGTTAAAAAAAGCAGCATATTTGCTATTATCAAAGCCAGAAAAAATACCCTCTTGCTTTCTGTAAATGTCATCAGGTCTGATGCGGTGTAAAAGCAAAGTCTCATTGTCTTCTTCATCAAAAACAAATAAAGCAAGCTCTTCTGATCTCTGAATTATAGCATGTGCATTCATTTAAAAGCAATAACACATTGTCATCTAAATAAATTATTTTCAAAAATAAATCCAGTATATCAGGCAGAAAAAAGATAACTACAGAAACAACCAAAAGATTTGAACCAAACCTCCAAATAATCAACAGTGACATGTCCAGTTCCTTGATCGTTCCATTTACCATTCTCACTCAAACGATAGACCTTTACTCGCTGAATTCATATATAAACATGGGCAGAAAATGATTTTCGTCAGGTCAATGACAATATAATTAAAATAATGCAGACACGTTAACATTAAGTTAGACCTTGAGAAGCTATTCGTCCATTGTCAAACTGACAACAAATAATAAGTTAATAACCTTTATGATCCTCCCCCATCTTAAGAAAATTTCCCAGGTAATTATTTTTCCTATGATAACAATTGGCCATCTGTATGCTTCTGCTCCTACACATGATGTTTCTATCGATGGTGCAACTGCTTTTTGCATTTTAGATCTGGTAACTCACCCATGGAACAACACCCTTACCGTAATTCAGAAATTTCTAGCAACTGCAACTAATATCTTACTTCCAATACCTCTTTGGGAATATGTGCTGGCTATGTAAACAAAAACTATTTGAAGTAAAATAATTATCCATTGATTGACGAATAAAACACACCCTTGTCAACATTCTGTATATATATTAAACACTGGAATCACAAAAAACCTACAATGAAAACGCACAGAAATGCCAACTTAAAACCAAATTCTCTAACTGCCCGAGAACAGAATTGACTGGTATCCCACTTCAAGCCAATTCCACTTCACCATACACTTCAAAGTCCAATCATATTTAACAAATAACACTGCGGAACAAGAGTATAGAGAAAAGAAAACGAAAGGCACATCTACCTACGAAGCCAAAAATAAAGTTAAACTAATTGAAAGAAAGCAACTTCACTTACTATGTAGATTAATACCTAACTTATCTTTGGAAGTGAACTAACAAAAAAAAAAAGACCGATCCTGTGGCTGCAAGCAAAGCTTATATAAAACAGTGTTGAGCTGACCTGAATCGAATTGGAGTTCCCTTGAGATTTCTCTGGAGCGCCCATCGCAGCTTCTCTCGCTCTCCGATCACAAAAACTTTTCCAAACCCGAAAAATCACGAGGATTCGTGGAAATTTAATAAAAAAATAAGTTGAAATTGAGAGATTGGGGACAATCTTGAATTAGGGTTTTTGGTAAACGAGAAGAGAGAGAAAAGCGCGGGCTCTTGTAAAATTAGGCGGGAAAATTAAGGTTCCTTGTTGGAAGAGGGATCAACAGAAAACCCTAAACCGCCATTAACAGAGCTGAAACAAACACCCTTGTCCCCCTCTCTCTCTCGCTCAATTTCTTTTGTTCTTTTGTCAATCTTCTGCGCAAGTGCCTGTCACTTCCCCCGACCTTCAATAAGTGAAAAAGGAAACCAAAAAAATAAATAAATTACAATAATATAAACGACTGCAACAAATGCGATTCTAGTAATATAGGCTTGATTTTCATTTTAATTACGATTTCACCATATTCAAGTTTCCCCTTTCCAGTCTCTGCTATATTCACGCGCTTTCTTTCCTCTATCCAATCAAAAACGCACAGAGATTCCCTCAACACGTGGTTTTCGTTTACCAATCATTACTCGACACGTATAGTGCAGACAAAAGGATTTAAAGGTGCAAATTATCGGGTAGTTTGATTGTACGACATACTTAATATACATATAAAGAAACGTCTTATAAAAAATGTTAATATTTTTTAACATATTCAATAAAACGTTACATAAAATATTATTTTTATCATAAATTTTATTTAATTTTTGATAAAAAAATAATATTTTAGTAAACGTCTAATATTAATATTTTTGATAGAAAAAAATAATATTTTAGATTGTACTTTATCGAAAATATTAAAAAAATATTAATATTTTCGATAACATTTTTTCTTAATTATATATTAAGATTGTCGTATCGTAGACATCCTACAAAATATCTCTTGTAACATTACCTTCTTAAGGTAATTTTACCAAAAAAAATATCACCATCAAAAATAAAAAAACATTTTTACACACGTCAACTCAACAAAAACACGTTCTATATGACACATCTTATATTAATCTAACAATCCATATGATAAGCACATTTTACATAACGTGCCTTTACTATTTTTATATCACCTCCAAATTTAGGTTAATGGTTTATGGTATGGTTTAAGGCTACGTTAATAGTATAGGGTTTAGGGTTTATAGTATTTGTGAATTTTATGATATTTGGGGTTTGAGGTTTACATATGGTAAGATATACAAACGAAGAATAATTACTTACTTCACTCCCACTCATTATATTATAGAAAAACAACTCTAAACTTTTTTTTCTTCAAAATGAAATATTTAAAATAATTTTTTTACATGATATTATTAATCTTTTAAACTCATAAAATTGTCCTTAAATGGGTGTGAGTTAAAATTGAAGTCTTAATTTATTTGTATTTTAGTCCTTAGCTTATTTATATTTTAGTTCCTAAATAAATGTCAATAATATATATTATTGTTATATATTAAAATATCTAAACTTATTATCGTATTTGATATATTGTCATAAATTTTTATTAATTTTACCTTTTATTTTTTAAATTAAAATATCTAAACTTACTGCCACTCTAATCATCACTCCAAATTTATATATAGGTTACTGTACTGATAAATTTAATAAAATTTTCATCTAAAACAATTCATATATATTTTTAATTTAAAAATGTAATAACAATTATATGTATATATATATATTGGACCAATGTAATGCATATTTTTTATTTAGGATAAACTAACTATTTGGTCACCCACCTATTACTTAAATTATGTTTTGGTCACCCACCTATTACTTAAATTATTTTTTGGTCACTCAACTATTATTTTTCAAAATCATACATAACCTTAGGTTTTGGTTATGTTTTAATCACATGTTATTAAAAATTAACAATGAAGTTAACATGCCAATTTTTTAATTATTTTTCAATCCTGACATGACATATCTTATGATAACACATCAATATCACGCTAAGTTTTGAATGATGAGTGATCAAAATAAAAACAAAATGTAACATTAACTGTGAATTAAAATAAATAATAGTTGGGTGACCAAAACAGAAGCTAAATAACAAACGAGTGACCAAACTAGTAATTTTTTCTTTTTGGGCATGGGTGGCTCATGACCTAGATAGGCCTACGCTTAGATACGCCCATGGTTACTGATTTAGGGAAAACGAATATCTTATATATTTAAAAAAATAATTAAGGACTAAAATACAAAGAATGAAATATCTTAAGATTTATATATATATAAATTCAAAAAAATTAATAATTAAAAATATAAAACTCCAAACCACTAACCTAAAATCGAAAGTGATATAAAAGTGGCAAAGGAGCATTTTGCAGAATTCGCCTTCCACGTGTGTTGCTAAATCAGCATAAGGCACATTCTGCATACACATATTTGTTGTGTATACCTAAGGTATGTTTTGTAAAACGTGCTCTATTCGAATGAATGACATTTTGATAAATATTAGTGAATGAATAACATTTTAATAATTAATTAATTTTAAGGGTGATTTTTTTGGATAAAATTATCCGGACAAAATTTTAAAAATAGTCCAATAAATCAAATTTTCTAGATATATTTAATAAATTAAATTTAAATATACAACAATTCAATTTATATTTCTATTGAGTCAATCTAAGTATTTAAATTTTTAACACGTTTGATAATCCCCATGGTAAAAGATATTATTTGATTTATAAATTTAAATATACACTTTTGACTCATGTTTTTCACTTTCATGATCAATGTAAACATTAAAAAGTTTTCCTGAATTTATTGTCACGTTAATAAAGACATATTATACGATACGTTTTTGTCAAAAAGATATCATTTTTATAAATAATTCATTTTAGATGTTATTATTATAATTAATTATTAAATATGTATTAGTCCCTTAAAATTGTTATAGAGGTCACTAAAATATGTAAAAATAATATTGTTGATCATCGATCTTTCAAATGTTATGATTATCATTTATAATTTTTCAAATGATTACAAAAATATCATTAAAATTTATAAATTATTATAGAATAGACTTGATATTAACCAAAATATAACATAATAATCCTTAAATTTATCAAATTTTATTTATATTTTAATGATACAAGGACTATTTTGTGACTGTTTAGAAAAAATGACTATTTTATAACATTTGAAAGGTTTTTGGCTAAAAGATTATTTGGACATAGTTTAGTGATATCTAGTATACTTTACCCAAAATAATGGTGGTTTACCAGCCTGATTTTGATAACTCCGCCTCCTTACTCCTCTCCCAACGGACTTATCAAAGCAAAACCCATTTCTCATTGTCTCTATATTTTCCTCAGATCTATGTCTCTATGCCGCGCTCAAGTAAAGCTTTTTCTCTCGTTTTCGTCGTTGCCAAACAGCTGAAATAATCGAAATGCATTCCATTTGCTCTCAAGCCACTACAGTTCCTAGATCAAATTTCGCCTTCGATTCTCGTTCTCTTGCTTTAGCTATCTCCAAGCCGTTCAATCTCCGTTTCTGCGGAATCAGAAAGGAAGCCTTCGGGTTCTCCGGCTTGATTCACTCGTGTTCCAGCCGAGTTCCCTTCTCGTGCCGCGGGCATTCAAAGAAAATCTCCGCTTCAGCTGAAAACAACGGAACTCCGCCGAAATCATTCGATTATGATTTGATTATCATTGGCGCCGGCGTCGGTGGCCATGGAGCTGCGTTGCATGCCGTTGAGAAGGTACTTCGATTTTGATGCTATGTACTATTTAGCTCTGTTCTTTTAGCTTAAACTTACTAAGCTCCTTTCTCTCAATCCTTTTTCGCTGTTTTCTAGAAGTTCTCAAGAAATGCATTTGACTTCCTTGATGAATATTGATTATTAATAACCAAACTCATTTGAGCTCGACTTGCTTATTATATCTTCTGTCAAGGAAGCCTATGTAGTTTTCAATTACTAATCATTGGCTTACCTGCTTTAAGTGAAGATCGACGGTGCATTTGGTCGTGATTCGCGAATATGTTGTTTTAGCGACTTCACCATCAATCAGTATTTGCCTTAAAAAAAAAGATAGATTTCGTTTGAGTGTAAATACTAAATATTGTGTACTAATACATTGTTTGTGCTCAATTGTGTTAAATGGATTTTTTATTTTTTCTAATTTTTTCTACTTTGTTGTTTGTAGGGTTTGAAAATTGCTATCATCGAAGGAGATGTGGTGGGAGGAACGTGTGTGAACAGAAGTTGCGTTCCTTCAAAAGCTCTCTTGGCTGTGAGTGGTAAGATGCGTGAACTTCAGAGCGATCATCACATGAAGGCTTTGGGTTTGCAGGTAACATGATTACTTGTTATGGTTGGTTATGTGAGAACTTAAGCGAAGGCTCACAACTTTAGTTTGAAATAAATCAGCATTTACATTTAAACTTAGTTTCTATGCTTATCATGTGTTCAAGGGACAAGTATATGACCACTATGTATTTCTTCTTCTGACCAACAAGCTGCCATGTCATAAAATCTATTAAGCTAATAACCCCTAATCATTTCCTTTTCTGGTGTTCTTTGTGTTTACATATTGTAGGTTTCTGCTGCTGGATATGACAGACAGGGAGTTGCTGACCATGCAAATAACCTTGATTCGAAAATTCGAAGCAATTTGACTAACTCAATGAAGTCACTAGGAGTCGACATATTGACTGGTGTTGGTACTGTTGTGGTAAAGCCTAATATATATCCTGAAACAAAGAGTACTGTGCCATTTTTTTCTTCTATATTCTCAAGTATCCTTACATTTTGTGTCTGTACACAGGGTCCACAAAAAGTGAAATATGGGAAGATTGGTTTTCCTGATAACATAGTAACTGCAAAAGATATAATCATTGCCACAGGCTCCGTCCCTTTCGTCCCCAAGGGCATTGAAGTCGATGGTATGCGATTTTCTTTTTCTCTAATCCGTCTTTGTGGTCTTACTTTTTCATTAAATGTTTAATCAAAAGTAATCTGTGTGTTTAAGACTGCACAGGCACTTGATAGCATTTTACCACCCATGATACTCTTTGCCTTCATCTTTGTTTTACCCTGTTCTCCCTTGCTGGGGCAATTTGCATCAGATTTATGAATGGTCATATGTTATGTAACAAGGACATGTGCATCGGTTTAATCAGGTGAAATGTGGATATAAAATTAGGATAACAACTTCCTAGCTGTTCGAGTGTGGTCGAATCAATGGAAGTTTTCATCTGCTTAATGCACATGACGTAGTTTGAAAAACCACAAAATCTCATCAGTCTTATGTAGATTTATGGGAATTTATCGCATGGTTAGATCTTATTAAACAAACAACAAGAACTTTTCAACCAGCTAGAGAATAACTTTTGGAGTTTTACCATTTATAGAAGGATGCGAGTTACATTGGCTGTAATCTTCTGTGTTTTTATTGTTCTAGAGTTTTTCTAATCATTAAGTAATAACCTGCAGGGAAGACTGTTATTACTAGTGATCATGCCCTGAAGTTGGAGTCTGTTCCTGACTGGATTGCGATTGTAGGAAGTGGGTATATTGGTCTTGAATTCAGTGATGTATACACTGCACTTGGTAGTGAGGTGAGAGCTTGTTCTTTTGATCTTTGTTTTTCAAATATCTGTGCCTTTTTTCTTAATGAAATGAATGTAGAAATCTTGCTTTGAGGATAAAAGAACTGTAAATTTACCTTTTGCTTCATGTTATAAGGTTCTTCCATCTGTTTTCACCTGAAATCTATATGTACTTCAGACCAAGCCTCAAGGTTACGTAGAATTTGTGCTTCTCAACTATAGGATTCATCTATGCCATCATTTAAGCTGCAAAGCTGGAAGGATCTCTGCCCATTGTGAGATTGCTATCGTGGACAAAATAATTGTAAACTAGCTTAGACTATAGAAAGCATGCCATATAGATATAATATTATCTTTAATTCATTCCATTCATGCATGAATACATTACCACAAGGACAGAAACCAGTCATTGAATTAGCTACCTGCTGATTATAGTAGTTACTGGCCTTTTATGTTTTATCCTAATTCCTAAGTTACAGCATAAGCAATACATCCTTAATATTTTTAGTCCGAGGAAACAAAGTTCATATAATAGGTGTATGCAGGTCACATTTATTGAAGCTCTAGATCAGCTTATGCCTGGATTTGATCCTGAGATTGGTAAGCTGGCCCAAAGGGTGCTGATCAACCCTAGGAAAATTGTCTACCATACAGGAGTTTTTGCAACGAAGGTGATCTATTGTTTAGATTTTTTTTCACTTTGCATGGCTGTATAATAAATTTTTATTGAGTTTCCTTGGTGTTATAGATCACTCCAGCAAAGGATGGGAAACCAGTCACTATTGAGCTCATTGATGCCAAGACTAAGGAGCCCAAAGACACCTTAGAGGTATGTGCGTTATGTTCCTTTTCCCCCCCTTTTTATGGTGTGTTAATTGTTAAGTTCTTTTTGATGGAAAATCTGAGAATCTGCCATTTTTTGTTAGTAGTTATGGCAGCATACGTAGACAATGTCAATATTGCTGGCTTATGACGCTTTTCCTGATGTCAAACCTAAATTCTATCGTCTCTATGTAGATGTAGAAAATAAGAATTTAGGAACAGAGATCAAAGTGATACTCTGGATTTCTTGATTGATTACAAGGGATATACAAACCTCATTTAAATAGGCTGAGTAGAAGTGTTAGAATATAATTAAAATTACTCCTAGATAAGGTTCTATCCTCTTTAGAAAATAAAAGGATGAAGTTAATCTAAACTACTAAATCAAATAGGATAGAGTTAGAGTTAATCTAAACTACTAAACCAAATAGGATAGAGTTCTAGTTAATCTAAACTACTAAATCAAATAATCTACTGCTACTTCACACGCCAATATTCTACAGTAGACTTTACCGTTATTGAGTGACCGTGCTGTTTGGTCCCGGTCCATGGTTTTTGTTAAGTAACTTTCCCTTTTCATCTTTTGCTCCTAGTAGATGCAGCTTTAATTGCAACAGGAAGGGCTCCATTCACCAACGGTCTCGGCTTGGAGAATGTACGTCATCCTGATGAAAACTGTAATATAGAACTCTTAACTAAAAGGAAATAGATTACAACTTTTTTTGTTCCTTTTATTTTTTTTCCAGATTAATGTAGTAACTCAAAGGGGTTTCATTCCTGTTGACGAAAGGATGCAAGTAATTGACGCAAATGGCAATCTGGTTAGTTGTAAACTTCATTCTGGTTATATATTTTCTCATATGGCTTTCAGTTAACAGTACTCTTATGTATGGATTTTAGATTCCTCACTTGTACTGCATTGGTGATGCAAACGGTAAAATGATGCTTGCTCATGCGGCAAGTGCACAAGGAATTTCGGGTAATTGCCAACTAAATTCATTATTAGCCAATTCATAATTGATATTTTCATTAGATCGATCTCTCTTAAAACTATCTTAATGCAGTGGTTGAACAAGTAACTGGAAGAGATCATGTGCTTAATCACCTTAGCATCCCTGCAGCCTGCTTCACTCACCCCGAAATAAGTATGGTTGGGTTGACAGAGGTGAACATTACAAAACCCTTGCTTTTTGATTTATTATCAATTTTTTATAAGAATTTATTATCAAGTTTAAATTGCTAGATAAAATACTTTTAGGTAGCCTTTTAATTTTGACAGTGCTTTAAATCCGCAGTCTCAAGCAAGGGAAAAAGCCGAGAACGAAGGATTTGAAGTGAGTGTTGCCAAAACAAGTTTCAAGGCTAACACAAAGGCTCTTGCAGAAAATGAAGGGGAGGGACTTGCTAAGGTTGTTTCCCATCACACTTGTCTAAATCAATATACATAATAAGGATGTTTTGAGAAAGAAAATGACTTGTTTTCTTTTAGTTCATGAGGTTCTCTGTCCGTTGTACAAAAGTTGGTCTCCTAATTTTTACAAACTGCTCAACACAAAACGACAACCAACTGAAACACATACAATCTCTCATATAGTGCTGAACGTCATAAACTAAAGTTATAAGGGGTTTAAATTTCAATCATATACGTGACAATCGCTTAAGTTTTACCAATGTTCTCTCCATGCAGTTGATATACAGACCCGACAATGGTGAGATTCTCGGAGTTCATATATTCGGCTTGCATGCAGCAGACCTTATCCACGAGGCATCAAATGCCATGGCTTTAGGGACACATATCCAGGTACGTCTTCTGTGCAAAAGCCAAATCACTTGTGGTCCACTTTTCTTCCCCAAACTCCGATCATTAACTATATTCGGTCACGCAGGACATAAAATTTGCCGTTCACGCACATCCAACACTTTCCGAAGTTCTTGATGAACTATTTAAATCTGCCAAAGTGAGTTTCTGATATATAAATATATATATATAGTCCCATTTGCCGTTGTAAGATCATATTTTGATACTCATGGGAAACTCTCTTATCCCCCTTTTAAACCAGGTTAAAGTCACTGCATTGAATCATGCTCCAGTAAGTGAACCGGTCGCGGTCTAAACCCTTATCGACACTTTATGATTAAAAAAGTAAAAGGCAAAAGAGGTATACATTTTTGAAGAACTTTACTTGTATTAGGGAGTATCAAGAAACATCTTGGAGGAATTTTCATATAAATTGATGATGGCCGTGCCCGAAGCCTTTCACAATTTAGTGTCTTCATTTTCGAAAGCAATGCAGATATAGTTGTGCTCATAATTTATTCCCATTTTGAAAGTTTGTATTCCTTGAATCTTCTTAAAATAATTTTTTTTCTTCATTTTAATGGAGTTTTGCATCCTTTTTTAATACTATTTCATTCCATTATAGCCTCGGGCCTCGTCTATTTCCTGAGGAGTGAGGGATTTGTATGTTTCAGAAAAATGGTGGAACAATACAGTTTTCTGCATTCCCTGAGCTTGGTTCCTAAGCTTTAAGAGATTTATTCCGGTCATCTGCTGGTATATTTGGAAGATGCTTAATGATTTGATCTTTCAGAATCTCGGCTTAAGATACCTTTGTTGATCATCTACTATATGGGCAGCAGAAAAGCCGATCTCGAATGGCGGAAAACTCCATCTCCAATTGTTAAAGCTTTACATGTAATGGTCGTGATATATATATATCAGCCAATTGCTTGGAGAAAAACCAAAGAAAAATAAAAGAAACCGAAATAGAAGATCAAACTTCATCTGTTATTAGAGTAAGAAAAATAGGTCTCCTATGATCTGCTTATGACTACAAACAATTCTTTCGAAAGCAGGCCTTCAAATAGATCTTTTTTCCTACCAGATTTTGTTACCGAACAAAAAAAAAATTCCGCACAATTGCCTTTGCATATCGTGCGGAAGTATCTTACAAGCTATGTAGTTTCCACCCACTGTAACCGATCAATCCCGAATTATCCGTTTTCCGGATCCAGAACATGATATTCACAGAAGGAAGATGCAGTATGGTGTTAAGCTGGTGCAATGGCGTCATGCTGCCAGAATAAAGAGCACAAAACCAAACGTCACAATAATGTTTAGCGAATATTGTTCTTTAACAGGCATTTACAAGAGAAAAAAAAGAGTAAAAGAAACCAACCTGTTTCAGAAGAGCACTCATGAGATCCTCTTGCCCGAAATGATCGGAATATACATTGGTAGGGGTGGCATCGGAAAATGACTCGGACTTGACCCTTACGGTACCATCTACAAGAAGGGAGTTGAGATTTTGATTACCATTTTGTCCATTCATGTGCCCCTTAGTATCTCCAGCTGAGAACATTGACATTGCCTTGCTTACTACGGTTGGACTCCCGTTCTGTCCGTTCACTTGACCGGACGAAAATCCTTGTTGTACTAAAACCGTTTGCGAGTGGTCGAGGTTGCCTTGAAGATTGTTTGAATGCTGCGAGGCATCAAACATCATGCCTGCGCTCTGTAGCTCCCAATTTTGGGGTTTATGTTGATTCAAGTCATTAAATATTTCGTAACTCGGCATGGATCCCACTGATCCTTTGATATCCGAGTTAACATCTTCCTGAAAAGTCACTTTGGGTGTGAGACTAGAAACCTTTTGCATTCATTCTTCATTATGGCATTTGCCATGCGCTTTTGCATTTTCCTAGACTCACCACAACGTTTTCTTCTTACCATCACATGCAAGTTTATTTAGGCAGATCTTTTCAAAGATTTTAATAATTTCTCAAAATATATAAATATATTATTAATCAAACGTGAACGTATAATTTTATGTTACAAGATATAAATTTAAAAATTATATTAAAATTTTAAAATATAAAATTAAATAATTAATAAAAAATATTAAAAATATTAAAACTATATGAGATGTTGAAATTTTTTGGGATGCAATCAAAAACTTAGACAGATATGAACATGAGTCAAATCAGATTGAATTTTCGATTAATTCGAGTCTGACCTGAGTATTACACCACTAAATCTACCACTTGACTCAACTCAAGTTTAGGAGGTCTAACCAGACTCGAAACTTGACTTAATTTGTAGGATAAAATTTTACATCCAATCCAATACGTATATAAAAATATAATTTTTTTGTACAAAAAAAAATTAATTAAAAATATAAAAATAATATATTATAATTATCTATAATTATATAAATAATAGTTATATTATTATTTCAAATTAAATTAAATCAATAATTTTTTCATCTAAAACCTAAATTTATATAACTCTGTCAAATCAAATCAAACTAAATTTATTGTATATGAATTTCATATACATCCCTAGAGTGCCCTCAATCCATCCATCGTCCCAACCAAAACAAAAGTTGACAGCTCCCGCTGGACACCCGCTGGACACGTGGGTAGTCCACAACACACAACGTTCAACGAAAACCCAATCAAATTCCCCCGTGACGCATTTAGCTCCTCGCCCGTTAAAGAAATCACAGCCGCACCCAACTATAATTTTTTCTTCAAGTGGTTAATTGGTTATGGAAGTAGGGTCATTTCCATAAATTCCACAAAACTTAAGGGGGCAATTTGGAAAATAAACAAAAATAAACAAAGATAGTAGAAATTCGGTGGAGAGTCTCTCTCTGCTATTTCTTTTCCTGATTGTTTCTTCCATTTTTTTAGGTCGATTTTTATTTTAAAAAAAGTTTCATAAATACTTTGATCGAAAAAGAAGTTGCTTTGTTTTCTCGGGAAAATGGAGTCAAATTCATGGAGCTTTCGATTCTCCAATTCTTCTTCTTCTTCGTCTTCATCTTCGACAAGGCGTCGCCAATCTCGATCCGGTTAGTAATTGTCTGCTTGTTTGTCGAGAAAACTAGAAATGGAATTGGTTTGAATTTGGTGATGAATTTTGATTTTCTTTTCCTTTAGATCTGTTTCTGGGAGGAGGGTATGAAGAAATTGATGGAGACGAGGATTTCAAGGCGCAATTTTTATGTCCGTTTTGCGCTGAGGATTTCGACACTGTTGGACTCTGTTGCCACATCGATGAAGAACATCCTGTTGAAGCCAAAAACGGGGTACCCTTTTCCCTTCTTTTGACGAAATTTGTGTTCTTATAGGTTTTTTGAAGTATATAAATAGAAGAAATGTGTATCGAATAGTTAATAATGGCAAAAAAGAAGGAAATTTTAGGGATTTGATGATGAATTTTACTGCTGCTGAAGTGATAGATGTTACATTTTAAGCTGTTTAGCTTATAATTTGACTGTTTAACTTCTATGATTCCTCGGGCATTTACGTTTTTACACATTGATTTGTGTTGTTGGTTTGCTGGGGAATTGCATCTGAATTTTGCTTAATAGGTGTTTGGTTCCTTGTTACCTTTTCAGGTGTGTCCAGTTTGTGCGAAGAGAGTCGGAATCGATATCGTCAGCCACATTACCATGCAACATGGGAATTTTCTTAAGATATCCTTTTTTACTTGCTGATTTTCTGTCTGGTTTTGGTTGTTATCTATCATTTGCTTCTGATGTCAACACTGGTTAAATAATACTATTTCCATATAGATCTGGTCCAAGTATTTATCAGCACTCCATGGCGAGGCGACACGTGTGAAACATACTAGACTATGTTCACCATGGCAAGGCAATGTGTGTGAAACATAATGGATTTCATTAGGGTTATTTATGAGCATTGGTTTTCTGTTTTTATTTTAGAATCAGTCTGTTGTTTATTTGTGAGTAAGCATGCCGTGACAAACAGTTTCGGTTATTCCTTGACTGGGGGTTACGTGCAGCGCAGGCGGAGATTACGCAAGGGTGGATCCAATTTGACATTCTCTATGTTGAGAAAAGAAATGAGAGAAGGAAATTTGCAGGCTCTTCTTGGGGGATCTTCATTTGTTTCTTCCTCCAACATTGAAGCCGATCCTTTATTGTCTTCATTTATGTTTAGCCCTCCAACAGGTGAAGAACCTTTAAGCTTGCAACCTCTTTCTATCGCTGAAGCAAGTGCAGTAAAGGAAAGCAGAAATAAAGAATCTTTGGAAAGGTACAAGTGCTGATATCATATATTATTGCAATATTAGTCCTTTTGTTTCTTTGTCTGGTCTCCAAAAAATGACAGGCCTTTTTTTAGTCCTCTATGTTCCTTGATATAGTGAACAACTTTGACTAAAGTCATTATGGCTCGGGAATGTCATTGCTTAGGCTCATCATTTTCCTTGAAACATTCATGTCCGACACATGCAATTGATGAAAATTTTAACCTTATTGGATACAGAAAGCCTCAACATGCCCAATTGTCGGACAAGGATCACGAGGAGAAGGCTCGAAGGTGTGAGTTCATCCAAGGGCTGTTGATGTCCACCATTCTTGATGATAACTTATAAGCTAATTGGGGTGAATTTGTAGTGGTTATGCCAATATAATGTTAGGTCTGAGAGAGTAAAGCATAAAGAGGACCTTCACCCTACCTCAGAAACGGTAACCGGTTAGCTCCGGAACTTTATATTCCTAATGTACTTCGAGCTAGTGTGCATAATGAAAAGATGGAAGAACTTTATCCTATATCTATGCTTTGCTTTTTATGTACTGTTGAAGATCACAGTTGCTTTTGATAATCTTATGCCATTATTTGCAATAGAGGTAGGTTTGTCTTCTGTTGGAAAAAAAAAAACGGATTGTTATGCTTGAGGCTTGTGTCTGGCACATATCCGACATATGCCCGAATATAAATACAAGGATTTGATCCTTTGAGTAATTGTCAATAATTCACGTGTTAGCGAGAGAAGCTCCAACTTCTCTCTAACCCAAGCGATTTCAAATTTCTCTAGAGCCCAGGTGTTTTTAAAAAAAGTTTTCTCTCTCCTCCATTCGTTGCTCGCCGTTTGCTGTTTGCCGTCTGCCGCCGCCGTTAGCCGACTTTCGAGTGACGTTGTTTTTTCCTGGAATGGTCGTCTTCTCACAGTGAGTTCAGATCTGGCTTTAGTTTTGCGAAAAAACTGTATTTCGCCGCAGATCTACACGCCGACCACAACAGATTTAAGCCACTCCCCGTCGTCCGGTTTCGACTCTGCCTCACCATTGAACCCAGCGTTTGTTCGCGACCAAAACTCGAGTATCTATTGTCTAGAATCGTTGCTTTTGCAGTGAAAGCTTAGAACTCACCAACCATGGAAGCCTAACCCCCGTACTCTCAACCCAGTCGACTTAGAGGGTTTGATTCAACATACGCGGTGGATGCTTCCTCTGTGAGGCCCTCTGCTGTTCCTCCTCCATCGTCAAGGAATTCATAACTCTCTCTTAAACCATATAGCCGTGGTGCAAATGTGGATTTTCTTCTGGATTATGCCAAGGATATAGAAGCGAGAGTGAAAGAACTTAAAGCAATAGCAGCAGATTTGAATAGAAGGGAAAAGGAATTAGAATTGAAGGAGAATGCAGTTGTACGAGGTAGGTTTTTCAAGACCTCTGGTTACGCCGGTGCAACCACTTCATCTTTCTCCGGCAAGGACAAACGTGAATTGGAGAAAGAAAAGGAGAGGACAAAGACTCGGAAATTGCATAGGCGAGTTTTCACCAGACGTATGCTGGCCGGATTGAGACAATATGATAACTTCCCTCTTCCCTCGCATACTGTTATGAATGATGTTCTGGCCGCCTTGGCCGTGAGGCTGGTTGGACAGTTGAGCCTGACGGTACTACTTACAGACACTCTCCCGCGCCCCAAACCCAGCAAATTATGGGAACATATTCAACGAGGTCAGGTGAAAGTCCAATATCAACCGTTTTTTTGAAGAAGTGCTCCGTTAAAGCAACATTAGTACATTCAACACCACTCTTTCTGTAGTTGATGTTGTTCATGATGGATCCAAGGAGATCACTTCGAAAGGGTATTCCAATGAAAATTTTTTGAAGTGACGAGAAGGAGAAGAAAAGGGTTTCATAATGGGTGGAAGGAAGGCCATCCAAAAATCGGTAATGAGTTCAGAAATGGTTGTTACACGATTTTCATCGAAAACCTTCCAGAGAAGATCAATTGGAAGAGACTTGGATCTATATTTGGCACACACGATCATGTTATTGATGCCTTCATTCCTAATAAAAGGAACTCGAATGGGGTTCGCTTCGGGTTTATTTGCTATGCTATAATTGAAGAAGCAAGGAAAGCGATTTCTAAGATGAATGGTAATCTTATTTACGTCAGCAAAATTAGAGTCTCTTTGGCTAAACATAAACCCCGACAGTCTTATTGGCGAAAGTCCTCGACAGTTGTTCAACGTAAGGCTGGGATGAAAGATATTCCGAGGAATAAACTTTGTGAAGTTGAGGGTGTTGTGGATGAAGATAAACTTCACGTGTTGAGTAACTGTCTAGTGGGGTGGTGCAAGAGCTTTATCAAAATTGGTAATCTTGCTAACCAAATATAAGCCAAAGGACTAGCTGGCTTCACGCTAATGAGAGCTGTTGGAAATGCGGTTTTAATGGTTTTTGAAGACTCCAATTCGCTAAGATTGGTGAAGGATGAGAAACTAGAGACTCTTGCAGAATGGTTTTCCAGAGTGGAAACTTGGTCAGAGAGTCTAGTGGTGGAGTGCCGTCGCGTCTGGTTGGTTTGCGAAGGTATACCTTTTCACGTTTGGAATTGGAATACTTTCAAAAACATTTCATCTAAGTAGGGCAAATTAGTAGCAATTGACAACAGTTGTGAGTTTCCATCGTCTTTTGTCGAGCTAAAATTCAAATACTCACAAAGGCTCAAGGGAGAATTGATGAGTTGATGGAGTTGAAGGTCGGCGATAATTTGTTCAAAATCATGGTGCACGAAGTTGATCCTTCCTTCAAACCTAACTCTTGGGTCCCCGAAGATTTTGATAATTCACTAGAACTTGTTCCTTCAATTGGTTCTTAATTGCTCGACATCTGTTTTCAGAGTCGTTTTTTTAGTTTTTGGTTGTAAATGTTGTTTTTTATTGTATTAGGTGTTGTTAGATGGGTTAATAGGACAAATTGACTAAACTATTGTTGTAGTTCATGGGTGGTTTAGGGTTGTTCCCTGTTTATATGTTTTTGTTAAGGGTGTTTATCGGGTTGTATCTTATGTAATTTCTTATGTTCAATAAAATCCTAAGGCATTCTTTTCCTCCTTCCACTGATTAAGGAGCTACCCTACTAGCTCCATTAATCAAGAAGAGGGTTTTTAACGAGGCTTGAAATTCTTATAAAAAAAGTAATTGTCAATAATGAAAGTACTTCAAAATTTTGAATGTATTCATGTTAGACACATACTTTTTGTGGGCAAATCATGTTGGGTAGGTTGAAGATACGCTTGGAAACTAGAAGAGTTGTAACAGTTGAGTTCGGGGTTTTCAAGACCATGATGTTGATAATCGGTAACCGGACATACACGATGAAACGAAATATATTGTCTTGTGTTCTGTATCCACCATAATCCCATGCAAAAACAAAGCATCTTACATCAAGGTGGAAGAAAATACATATTCCGCATGCAATTTTGTGTTTATGTTTGAACTCTGGCTGAGATTACTGACTGGGGTTTTCTTCCAAGTTAAAGTGTTAGCTTCTTTCATCTACGGTGGTCCAAAAAGAAGATGAAATCTGGATGATAAACTTGCAAACACCTAAGCCAGTTATCGGCCTCTTTCCAAAGGGAATCGACTTTCGGAGATGTGTTAATGTTGGCCGTATCCCAAAGGGAAACTTGGAACTTATAGAAAGCAACTCCGAGTGTAGGTAAAGGTAGCTTTGAGGACATTTCAGCATCACTGAACTCCCTGATATTAAAGCCTCGGAAAGGCAGGCAATCCGTTTCGGTACCTGCTCGGGAAAAAGAACACTGAAATCTCAAACGAAGACACTCGACTGCATATTATCAGTAGAAAAGAAAGATGCTTACCTGGTGATTGTGTAGAAAGGCAGTGATATGTCAAAAAGCAGGTATCCATGGTTTTCATAGTTGGACCCGTTGGTATCCTATATATAGGGTACCTTCATAAAGAAAGAATTTCCCGTCAAATGTTTTCGGGTTTAAAATAGAAACGGCGATAAACAAGAAATATACCATGCCTCGGAGATCCAGCTCGAAGGTAATAGATCGCAGCTCCTGTATCTCGTCAAAGCTGGAAATCGGGATGCCAGATCCGAAATCTGTGGGTGCAAGGTTATCAGAGAAAGCACTAGGAGCTGCAAATGGCATGCTAATGTACAAAGGGCACGGGACCTACCTTGCAAGCCAAAGGCTCACGAGTAAATGGTAGAGCATGCTCGAAGTACTCGAAAACAAGCTGACCAGGAGGGTTTTGCATATTGGTTTCACTGATCGATGAACCCTGAGAAGGTCTATCTCGGGTCTCGATATGACTTTGAGCCCCCTGGACAGCATTGTTGCTACCATTGCGACTCGTTGTCTCCCTAGATGACTCTGTATTGCTCTCCTCACCAGGCTTCCTGTTCAATGATACACTGGAAAATGAATAATGAAAACAAGCACGATTTACATGTCGATCGAATGCAGGGTGACGATTATGGACAGGAGAAAAGATCTTTTAAAGCACATAGTAAAACCACATTGGGAAAAGTACAATCCAGGTAATTATCAACCATCGAGTGATACTTGAGCAACATGATTATATCCACATAGTTAAGACACATGCACTGGCATTGCATAAGGATCGGAGAAATCCGAGGGCTATCGGGACTTCTCCGTTTCGACTCACAATCACAGCAGGGAATTCAGATAAACTACGGTGAGGAATGGCTTTACCTTTGGCTAGGAGGCCTTGAAGGGTCTATATAGAGCTGAATGGCAGACAAGAAAGGGACATAGTATTGAGTTACAGGGCAAGTCCCATTCAACAGAAGAGGAATCCCAGCTCCATATGCACTCCATTCCTCAAAAGCCTTCCATAAATCCTAAAGAAAAAAAATACAGACGACTCTCCGGTTTGATCTTTCGCTCTTGCCGCCGTCTTGTGATCGTCTATAAGATCACCAAAGTTTCGTCAAGAAAAAGCTTCACCACCATTGAGAAAAAACGAAAGAAAAACCTCAAACTCTTGCATTCTTTTCGGATTCTAATTCTAATTCTAATTAACCTAACTTGCCACATATTCATAAATGAAAAGAGAGAAAAGAAAGGTGAAATGAAATCTTGGTTGATTAAAGTTGTTTTTTGTTTACCATAGGTATATGTTGAGCTCGAACGACCGGGGTTGTGAACTCCAAGAACAGATCCCAATTCGTCGGATTATTGTCACTTTTATCCACCGGAGATGATGTAGATGACGCTGTGTGTTCCTGTTGATCCGTTCTGTTATCCGCCATTAAACGGTTGGGAACCAACGGCCTTTGTTCCAGCCGCTGTCGCTTCAGTTGTCGGATCAACTTTGGTGGCAGATTATTGAACCGACTCCACCTGCCACGACGTGTCGAAAACGGAACGACATCCGGGGGACTGGACATTTGTAATGGAGCGAAACCGTTGTAAGAAAGTCCCGTTTTCTTGGAGGAGAGGTTCGAGCGGGAAATGGTAATGCTGACGCTTTTCTTATTGGTTTTCTTTTCGATTTATTAATTAGTTAGGTAAATTATATGTTTACTACTTGAACTATCAATTTTATTCCGTTTTAGTATCTTTTTAAAAAAAAAAAATCATATTTAACATTTAGTTTACGTTTCAATTTGATATGCGTTGTTAAAACTCAACAACACCGTTAACATAGAATTTACATTACAAGGCACATGGTATATCCGAAAAAGAAAAATAATTCCTAAGTCATTGATGCCGCTAAGTTTTTAACACCGGATATCAAATTAAAACCTAAACTATAATGATTGGAAGACTTTGACCATTTATTGTCAAATAATTGAGATCCTTTGAACAAATATTACATTATATTTAACCTCTATATATATATATAAAGAAATTATCTATTGCTCGACATACATATTGACATACATACATATTACGATGGATAGACAAAAGAAAGATGTATTCACAAGCTTAAGGTCGTCGCATAATTCCAGAAAAATTGACTCCAAATAGTCATTACATTTTTAGAGCATTTCCACTTTGGTCACCGAACTTTTAAAACTCACATTATAGTCACTAAACTTTTTTCCCATTAAAATCATTGTCATTAGCCGTTCTTAAAGTGACACTTTAGTCTTTATCCCCGAAAACCCCTTAATTTTCAAATTCACGATCATAAAAAAAATCGTATTTTCAATGAATAGAACAATCGTCAATAGACCCCAACAGGTCATAAGATTAATTTTCTAGTGTATTTAGATGCGATTATAATATTTTTTTATTATAAAATCTTCATATAAATTCGATATAATGTAAAATATTACTTAAATATTAATTAACTTCACCTATTTAATAAAGAATATTTTTATAACATTCATCATTTTTATTTGATTTAAGCATCGAATAACATTTCAAAATTCTCACTTTGAAGTAGCCTCCAGTCTCTTGTCCTTCCAAATAAATATTATATATATTGTAGTTTGACGTCGATAATAGTTTCAAATGATTTGATCGATAAGATATTGATAATTTGATAACTCAATCGGAATGATTTGAAGTTCGATGAGCAATTTATAATCTAAGCCTTAATTTTAGAGAGAGAAAAACTAATCCATATAACAATGCGACTGAGCATTGATGCACGATTCAAACGCACAAAAACGAACTCGTTGTTTATAAACAGTCCCTAGGACCGGTTTTACTGCAGTAAATCGATGAAACTAGGAACTGACCAACTATGGATAATGCAACTGCAAGCATTCAAATTTCCCAACTTTCATAAACATGTTAGATAAATATGTATGTCGCGACAGAGAGCAAAATCAGATTCATCGCCATTGAATGAGACGTACCTGAAAAACCTTCATCTCCGCCAAGAACATTTGAAATGGAAGATGGTGGTGGTGGAGGCGGTGATCGGTTGCTCCTTGCTAAAGTTGCAGAGAAGGTTTATCTTCTAATTGGCCTTTCACCGCGTCCTCGAACTCTGGTGTTAGATGGCTGAACCAAACTTGTATATTGTGGCCTATGGATGACTTTCCCATCAACAAGCAAATCCCCTGAAAATCAATCCACAAAAAGGTAAAAGGATCAAAATTAGTAGACCATAAAGGGAATTCGATAGCAATAAGCAGCAAAACTGTTGATCTTTAAACTCTCGAATTCTGAGAACTACCCACCACCGTAGTCTTTGTTCGGAACATCGAGGTACGAATCCGGTAAAACCCAGAGCACACGAGGTAACCCTATAGACAAGCAGGGAAACAATGTGAAACAAAATCCCAATTGTATGAACAAGATTGATTATTGTAACAATTTAATATGGAGCTTTAAAACCCTAAAGCAGCTAAAGAAAATATCATACAACAATGAAAATCAATGTTACTTCTTACTTTAAACAAAAACTCATTACTTCAGAAAACATAATTCTTCCATATGCACTCCAAAACAAAAGGGGGGAAATCATTTAAACCCTAAAACCCTAATAAATGAAATTACCTTTAACTTTATAAGACAACTCCTCAGATATCAAAGCACCAAACCCAGTATACCTCGTCGTACAAACAGAGTATATCCTCTTCTTCGCTTCCTCTTCACTGCAACATAAAAATAAATAAATAAATAAATAAATAAATACGAAAACCCAATTCTCAAATTTAGAAGAAAAAAACCCAGAATTAATGAATTTTGAAGGGTTTTTTTAACCTGCCGACAACAGAAGCAAGGGTTTTGGCATAAGCATCGATCATTTCTTCTTCAGAAGGCTTTGGGTCTTCCGTGAATTCCAAAACAATAAGCCAATGCTCATAATCACAGCCGTCGAGAAGGATCGTTTCCTTCGGCGGCCGGTTGCTCCAGTTCGGGGATGGGTCGTTCAAAGGAGAGTACCCGGCTCCGGATGTCCTGGTCCGGGTCAGGATTTTGACTGCTTCGGGGACAGAAACTGGGGAGTTTCTCAGGAGAGAAAAGGTGAGACGAGTACGAGATGAGAGAGATGAAGAAGGAGAAGAGAGGGCGCGGCTTAAGAGAATTGATAGAGATCGTCGGGCATTGAAGGAAGCCATTGTTGACGACGATGATTCTCTGATACGCTTTGCTTCTTCGATACTATTACTTACCAGGGTAACGCCCTTCTTCAAAATATTTAGAGGTTTTAACAATAGGTGAAATTATGGATTTGGTCACTCTTACTATGCTCAAATTGGTATTTCGACCTTATGTATATATATATATATATTTATAATTTTGATGAATACAAAATAGTTCACTGTGATATATACAGCAGTATATAAAGAATTCATAACACTATTATTTTGTTTAAATAAGTATTATTTAAGAATTATATATAAATTTAAAAAATAATTATATATTTAAGAATAAATAATCTAAAATTATACAAATGAAAGGCTTTCAAACTAAACGTGGGATTTCAGATCTTCAAGTTGAACAAACCCTCGAATCCGCAGTGAACTCTCATCCATAGAAAAAGAGTGATCAACTAAAAATGGTGATTTGGGGATGGTATAAATAGGGCATTGGAAATGCAGATTATTCAAGCGAAGAGCTCAAAGGGGCTTTAAACAACAAGGATTATCAGCACGCAGCAGTTGATATAAACCTTCTTTCTTTCTTTCTTCAGATTCGAGGGAAAAGAAGAGAGAAAGAAAGAAGTTTTATTCTTGCCGTTTTCATGCATTAAAAACGAAAAGAAACTGTTTAAACATGGCAAATAACGTTGCAATTATCAGTATATGTTTGGTATCTCTGTGGCGGTGGTGGTCGCCGTGGTGGTGGGAATGAATCACACCTCGAGCAAGAGCAATGGTAACGGCGATGGCAGGGCTGAAACTTTTCCAGCAGTGACGAGTTCTAAGAAGGAGCTACACGCACTTTGCCAACCCGTGGATTATAAAAAGACATGCGAGCAGAGCCTTTCCCAGTCGAACTCCACCGACACCAAGGAGCTGATAAGAGCCAGTTTTCAGGCGGCGGTGACGGAGATAAAGGCGGTGTTGTCGAAATCGGCGACTATCCATGAGTTGCAGACGGATGAAGGGACAAAGGATGCCTTTAAGGTTTGCCAGGAGGTGATGGGTTACGCCATCGACGACCTCGAGAATTCGTTCAAGACGCTCGGTGAATACGACATGACCAAGATCGATGATTACCTCATGAACCTCAAGGTGTGGTTGAGCGGCGCTGTCACAAGTCAACAAACATGCATAGACTCGTACGAAGAGAAGAACGGCACGGCAGCGGACAAGATGAGGAGTCTCATGAATAAATCACAGGAGCTAACCAGCAACTCCCTCCACATAGTGTCTGGGATATCGTCCATCCTCAAGGATCTCAAAATCCCAGGAATCAACAATCTCGACACCACTGGACTCGAACCCCGCGATCGAAAGCTCTCGTGGTCGTGGTTCACTGACATCTTCAAAAGACCCAATGATGAAGAAATCCCATTTGCTAAACGAAAGCTCTTCTCGAGCGACGATGATGATTTCGCACAATGGGGTGGAATGGAATCCCGCCATCGAAAGCTCTCGTGGTCGTGGTTCACTGACATCTTCAAAAGACCCAATGATGAAGAAATCCCATTTGCTAAACGAAAGCTCTTCTCGAGCGACGATGATGATTTCGCACAATGGGGTGGAATGGAATCCCGCCATCGAAAGCTCTCGTGGTCGTGGTTCACAGACATCTTCAAAAGACCCGATGATGAAGAAATCCCATTTGCTAAACGAAAGCTCTTCTCGAGCGACGATGATGATTTAGCACAACGGGGTGGAATGGAATCCCGCCATCGAAAGCTCTCGTGGATTGAGGAGCTCTTTAAAAGAACTGACGACGAAAAAATTCCATTTAGCAAACGAAAGCTATTCTCGAGCGACGACGATTTCCCACAGTGGGGTGGGATGGAACCCCGCGACCGAAAGCTCTGGTGGTTCGTTGACATCTTCAAAAAACCCGAAGATGAAATCCCAGTTGGTTTGGCTAAATTCAACAATCGAAAGCTCTCCTCGAGCGACGACGATTTCCCAACGTGGATGAACTCCGGCGACCGAAGGCTCCTCCAGGAGGCAGACATTAAGCCCAATGTCGTTGTTGCTAAATATGGTAGTGGCAAATACGATAGCATTAACAAGGCCTTGGCTGAAGTTCCAAAGAATAATCCCACACGATTTGTTATTTACATCAAGGCGGGCATTTACAAGGAGAAGGTCAATATTACCATGGGCATGGCCAATGTTATGCTTATCGGAGATGGTCCAACCAAGACCGTAATCACCGGTGACTTGAGCAGTGAAGTTCATAAGCTTACCACATTCCACACTCCTACCGTCGGTAAGTAATATATATGAATGTTACATAAAATTGTTATAATACAATCATTATGTCATGTACGTCCGTAATTTGATTTTATGTGTTCTTGTATTTGGTAGCTGTTAATGGGAAGCATTTCATAGCCAAGAACATCGGATTCGATAACACCGCCGGTGTAGCAGGTCAACAAGCTGTCGCCTTGAGATCATCCGGTGACATGGCCGCGTACTACAACTGCCACTTCAACGGCTACCAAAATACTCTTTTCGCCCACAAGGAGAGGCAATATTACCGTGACTGCACCATCAGCGGCACGGTGGACATTATCTTCGGCGACGGGAGGAGTTTGTTCCAGAACTGCCAGATTATCGTGAGAAAGCCGGCTCCCAACCAGAGTTGCATCATCACAGGACATACGAGAAATGACAAGAAAACTCTTAGCGCCATCGTGCTTCAAAACTGTACAATATCCGGTGACAAGGACTATCTCCCGGTTAAGGACAAGAACAAGGCGTACCTCGCCCGACCCTTGAAGCCATATGCCATAACCATCATAATGCAGTCTCAAATCGACGACATCATCACCCCCGAAGGGTACACACCGATGAACGGTACCGTGGGACTCGATACCTCATTTTATGCCGAGATTGACAACAGGGGAACCGGTGCTAAAACTGAGGGTAGGGTCAAATGGGGTGGAATCAAGCACCTTGATTTGAAAGCCGCCAAGAAATACACCCCTCGTATCTTCCTTGAATCCGAAACCTGGATTCCATTAACTGGGATTCCTTGCAATCCCGACTTGATCCAAGGGATGTATACTAGAAATTAAAGAAAGAAAACCCTAAGGCCATTGTTATTATTGCTGTGTTGATATGTTATTAATATTCAATAATTAAGCTAGAAAAAAACCCTAAAGTCATCGCTATTTTTATTTTTGTATCATTGCTAAATATTTATTTATCTGTTAGTATAACTTAAAATTACCAACTGACCTTAACAAAGTATGATAATCATCATGCCTAAGGAGGAAAAGCTGATTCGCATCAAGAATTTATCTATAAATAAAATTTTATTTCGGTACAGCCATATGGACCAAATTATTGCAAAAGGAGAACGTGACCATATTGGATCAGTATAGCTCCCACAATAGGATGCTTACCACGCTAAAAGGAACAGTTTCAGAATTCACTTTAGGGATGTCTGACGCTGGATTTGAGCCACGTTTAGCTAGCTCAGCCTTGACGGGAGCTCGATTCAGCATAACTAGCCAGATGAATGCCTAGATTTTGGGGGGAGCTAGTCCCAGCCATACAATCTTCTTTCATTTAACCCTGTTGTCATCACTAGGAGCAAGTTGCTTACATAGGGATTTGAACGAATACGAGCCATCGTTGGATCCGTCCCATTTGATCCAGTCCTAATCCAGGCTCGAAGCTTGGAATCCCTCCAGGGTCTCCATAAAATCATTCCATTGTCTAGTTTCCCATTGGAATGGATTTCGCCTCAAGGGAATGTTCCATACCCAGCCATTTGGACTTTTGTATCCGAACTCAGCGATGTCCCAGATTTATTTATAGCTAAAGCAAAAATGCGAGGATATTTTAATTTCAGAGGAACCTCATTGATCCAATTATCAACCCACAACCGTATCGACTTACCATCACCTACATGAAGAAGCATATTTTTTCGGAGAGTTTTTCCAACACGATCATCTGCGTAGAAGGAGTTGATGATGTCTCTCCAATGCCAAGAGCAGTTTCGTTGAAAGGTCTGTGGAGGGATATTAAAGTGAGGTATCGAGTGCGACAGTTCCATTCATCGGTGTGTACCCCTCGGGCGTAATGATGTCGTCGATTTGGGACTGCATTATGATGATGATGGCATATGGCTTCAAGGGTCGGGCTAGGTACGCCTTTGTGTTCACCTAGACTAATAAAAAAATAGATACAAGATTTAAATTTTTTCCAGTTTTTTTATTTGATCTAATTTTATACAATATTTCTATATTTATAACTATTATAAAATCATTTTTGAAAAAAATATTTTATAAATCCTTTCTACCACGTCATCAATATTTTGAACCAATAAATCCACATCAATCTTTTTCTTCATATTATTTATAAATAGAACTTAAATTTAAAATTTATTTTTAGGATCTCCATTAATGTCCTTTTCTTCTCCACTCACAAAATAATCTTTTTCTCGTACTCCCTCTTAGTTGCTTTAATCATCTTGTCGGAGCTAAAACCTTTACCTAACAATATAACATACCATTTGAAGTAATCTAACTCTTTTGTATCATCTTAGTTCATACACTCGAGTGTCTTACAATATGCTGACTGCACAAGGTGCATGTACTTGGATAACAAAAGCGACACTAAGAAACAGCAAAACATTTTAGCAAATACCATCGTCAGTGAGCTTCTGAAGAGATCGGAATCGTCTCCATTCTCAGGAAATGGATTTTCTCCCGCTGCCATGCATTTCGCGTCGACCTTAGTTTCAATATTATGAGACGGTTATAAAGAGTTGCAGGAATCTTCACCAGGGAAGAAGAAGATATCATAATTCACCTGCAAAATGACCTCGGAAATCGATGGTCAGCAATAGCAACAAGGCTTTCATACAGAACTGTCACTCGATTGAAGAGAAGGGTAGTATTGGAGAATAACAAGTCGGCATCAGCAACCACAGTAAAGCATTCTAGAATTGACGTTAATTCATGTGATTCTGTGTCCTCAAGCTCGCTGAATATTCCTACAATTGGTGTCTTCCCAGAATCATTGACTTACAATTCTTCTTTACTGCTGGTTAAATAGTTTTAGTTTTAATGAGGCACACAGTCACAAGTTAGCTTTCTAATTTCAATTTTTTTTCAAACACTCCACCACCTCCACTATATTCGAATCACCTTCCCCACAAAAATGAAAACCACACTTAAACTAACCATCACCTTAACTATTCTTAGTATTTTCTTTGAATTAATAGGGAAACTAGAGGTTTTTATGAACTTACATTTCTATGGTTGCATATCATTTCTTACTCGTTTGTTCAGCCCCAATTCTATTGATTAACTGCTGTTTTCACCCCTTAAGCCACGTCCTCAAATGAACGGAGTCTAACAACAAAAAGGAAGGCACTAATCTCATGGGAAGCTGTAGAAATCTACCCAAAAGCAAATGCCATCAGTTTGATGAACATTAAAAAGAGGATAGCTGTTGCAATATCCTTCTTGATCCGTAAAAATAGTCAGCTTAACTGGTTTTGATAAACAAAATTGAAAAACGTCAAAGATAACAATAAAAAGGAAATGGAAAGAAGTAATATGCACAATAAGAATACTATATAGACAATAGGGAAAGTAAAGCTGAAATGAATTTGAGTTGCAACCTGGAAAATAAGACGTAGAATTCATAATTCATAAATATACAAACCAAGTTTTGGTAAGTCATTGCCAATATACAAACTAGTCAGCTTAACTGGTTTTGATAAACAAACTAAAAACATGTCAAGTTTATTAATCTGACAGCTATCGGCAGAAATTTTAACTTCATGACAGAATAGAACTGGGATAGAAGGAAATACATGATCTTCTATACTGGAAAAACTTAGTTGAGAAATCATATTGGTGTATTTAATGTGAAAGAAGAAACTATGCTATTCTTTCTATCACACTTGATATGATTCACCACTTGACCATCATGAATATTGTGAAATATTCTAATGGTGGGAGATGTCTATACCAAAAACAGAATTCATTAGAGGACATAATAGTGAATAAACTGCAGTGCTGAGCATAAGCAATAATTTTATATATTAATTAAGCCCCCTTTTAATTTTTTATGAAAATTTTCTTTAATTAGGTTAGATAGCAAATTTAAATAACAATATTAACTGCAACATTTTTTAAGTACTAGTGATGGAACACAAATCGAGATTAATACAATCCAGTTCATAAAAAACACAATAATTATTAAAGCTTAATATAAGATGTTTTACTTAATATAACCAAGTCTCAGAATTTCCAAAAGATGCTTTAAAAAGGTTTACATTGTTGTTCATGAAAAGAGAAAGGGAGGGAGGGAGAGAGAGAGGGGGTTAAAGTGATAAAGTTTGTTTAAGTATGGTTTTCGTTTTGTAAGGAAGGTGATTGAAATATAGTGGAGGTGATAGGTATTTGAAAAAATGAAATTAAGAAGCTTTTAGGGATAAATTAGATATACAATCATTGTTCGAGAACTTATTTAATGTTTTAACAATAGTTTAGGGGTAAAATTAAATATTAACCTTTTTGCTAATGTTGGAACATAATCTATTTAATGTGGATGACGGTAGAGTGAATATTTTGTTACAAATCGATAATGTTAGTGACCAATTTATTATTTTTAAAACTTCAGTGGGGAAAACAAAAACTTATCCTAACACTAATGACCCTTAGTGTAGTTTACCCTAAGAGTAATCTTTAAGTAGCAACTTAACCATAGAATTGCAAGCATTCAACAGAAACTACCCTAAACCCTAAAGAGCCAAATAAAAGTAAGATAATGAACGATTAATCAACATGATAATCTAAACTTTAATAAAGCTATAATAGCCAAGGCTGCTCAACTTCACCATAGGAATATGAACTAATCAACTTCCTACTACTTCCATCTTCACCGATGTGGGACGTGAAAGAAGCTGCAAACCAGATGGCAAATATTCTTCAGCATCACCATACTCCTGGTATAACTTGTAAGCGACACCCCATACTGTAACTTCGAGATCCCTTTAACTTCGACTATTTTTACAGTACGTGACTGTAAATTGTAGCGAAACACCCCTCTCCTGCACCAAACTAGTAATACTTCCATATTTTGGATGTTTATAAATTGTATGTCATGATTAACCACATATCTTGTTCTGAAAGGGAAGATCTTCGGATTGAGATTATAGATATGAGTCAATTGCCCACCATGATCGGAAACCCAAAGTTGAACATCGAGTACATACAAAAAGCAACATGTTAGCCGACCTTCCATGTCCAACAGCTCCATCCCCTTATGCCATTCTCAATTGAGGCAATAGTAAGAACCAAGATGAGACAGCGTATGAAACTTTTCACTGTCCATGGAGAACATGAGAATGGACTTTCTGCATTCGGAGTGATTGAAAGTTTTAGAATCTGGTTGATACCTATCCGCAATCATCCAATAAAGAGCGTTGTTAAGCATCACTGATCGGTCTCCGACACGATAAGATAGGTGGTTAAGGATTCTCCATCTTCTGTTTGAGCCTAGGGTTAGTACTGCATATTTAATGGGATTGGTTGCTGTATATCCTGTCCAATGATGATACATCAGCTTGTACTCTAATGCGGAAGAGTTATAAAAGAATCCACAGAGACTACCGTCCTGGCGAAGATGTTTTCCGGTTGCGAATCCACAGAGACTAACGTCCCGGCCAAGATGTTTTCCGGCTACTAATTCTCCAGTGATGGGATTTCCGACATAGAATTCATTTGATAGATGAGAACAAGACTTGAACAAAACCAATCCATTGCAAGAAGAAACAGGAAGAACACCCTGACCCCCCATTTGATGTCGGCATGTCGCCAACGTTTAACCAATGCTCCATTCTCGTCACCTTGGCATCATCGTCATCACGAGGGAAAAATATCCCATTTTTTAGCTCACACACATCTTTTTGCGGATTGAAGACAAAGGAAGTGGGAGGAGATTGCCAGAGATGTGATGTGATTGATCAAACTCAGAAGAGGAGATTATAGACTTACATCTGCTGCATACTCTTCTGCAGTTCCACCACAACTGGTCGGCGGGGATCCGCCGTAGTATTTCCACAACCAAAACATCCT